GAGATATGAATTTTTCCAGAGCACAAGTTTCACAATTATGATGAGGATGAATACCAAAAGAAAAACTTTCAACCACTTTAGAAATATGTTTAATAGCTTCTAAATGGAAATGACTAAGCCTAACATGTTATAAATCACAAGTACTGGAAGAAAACTCCTTTAGAGTAACATATAAAAAATCAAGGATATAAATATGATTTTATCATGGAAAAGATGACCATGCAAAATAGAATATCTATTAGAATTAAACATTAGTAAAATAATAGTGACAAAATATTAGTGTGAAATGATAAAATATGAAAAAAACCTTTGAGAAACCAAAAGAGAATTTGCAAATCCCTTCAACAAAATGCTTAGAATTATCACTAAGAAAAAAAATATCATAACTAAAGTAACTTAATAATCATGAAATTCAGAGTGCTTAACCATATCACTATACTCAATAATAATAGTAAAAGAAGAACAAAAAGTTAGCAAAGCACCACATGATTGTGTTGAAAAATCTTCTATTGAAAACAAAATAGAAGGGGATGAATTATTGATGGTAGCATATATTTATTGTTGTTGTCTATTAGAACTAGTAGCTATATAATCTTGAGGAAGTTGTTATGGACAGGGAATAACACAAGAAACTAAATGAGTATAATTTGGATGCTGACAATAAAATTAGGAAGTACATCCAGAATAATGATAAAACTCACAAGATTGATAATAAAACTGTGCTATATGACCAGATTAACCACAATTATAACAACCACTAATGGAATGACTATAATAACAAAATGAATCTTATGGAAAATAAAACCACTTATTTGAAACATGAGCACTAATAAATAGTGACCGAGAGTAAAGTGCTAGAGTAGAAGTGTCAGTGGAAGCATATTAAAAAAAAGGACAATTCTAGTCATGAACTACAACCTCAAAAGTACATTAATCATTCATTATAAAACTTGTAACAATGGTAGAATATTCTGAAGGAAGAGTGTCCAAAAACTAAAGTAAGCAATTCTTTTGGGTAAAAATCATGTTCATTTGCTCAAAAACATTCCAATATCCCAGCTAAATGGTTTTACCTTGGTGGCAACATTTAGATGGTACCCTCAATGGAGCTAAATTAGAAAAAGGCTTTGGTGGTGAAGGAAGTGTTTCCTCTCTGTTAATCAATAGAAAATATAATGCACATATGTTCTCATATGCCACATAAGGTTAATTTTGCCACACAAGTAAAGTATCTAAAAGAAAATTGAGAAATATTGTTAATTAGTAATGTTTTACATTTGATTTTCAAGCGAAAAATGAGCTAAAAGACTTTGCTCTATTCATGTAGAGGGGATTGAGAAGTTGTCTAGGAATCTCAATTTCCATATCAACTATAAAAATTGTGAAAGATTTTTTGTTACCATTGCCAAGTCTTTTTATTCTTCTTTGTGATAATTTGGTAAATTTATTTTACTGTAAACTGTATAAATAAACCCGCTTGATTATGAGGCTGACAGTACAAGCAAGCCATTCACTTTCTTGGTGCTATCTCTCTCGTTTAAGTTCTACACACTCCATTGAAAAGATGGGAGTAGTTGAGAGGCATGACCAATTGCTCTGGCTACTACCAATGGATAATCCTATGCAAATGTGGGGCTTGGCTGAGGCATACAGTTTGTTGGCTCCCCTATCTCACTAACAAAAAAAATGACATGGAAAATTTGTTAATCACTCCCCATACACTAGCTTGCTGGTAGGTGGAATTGGCAAGCTAGATGTCGATGCTAGTTGCCATGGCAAGGGAAACCATCTGTAGAACGGATCAAATTCGTTGACAAAGTTGTTCACTTCGAGGCATGCAAAACCCTCCCTGCTGTCACAGGCAGAAGCAGTGGGAAGACCATGGATTCTTGCTTGTGAGAGTGGCGAAGCTAATTGCAGAAGCTACTATTGTTTGCATTCTTTGCCTGAGCCATGGGGGTTCTTACCACACATACAAACTCAAGAAAATTAGGATATGGAACAAATCATATGCTTGTCAATTGGGCAGACAGGACTATAAACATATTAATATTTACTAACTTGGCGCCTTTTTAAAGCACATAAACTATATAAGGAGTTATAGGCAAAAGTTGTGGAAGCTTCCTGTTCCTTTCAAGATTCAATGGGCAAATCCTCATCAACAAACAAGCTTAAGAGCACAGGTCTTCCATGGAGTGGCCGAGAGCCAGAGTCACCGAGAGCCAGAGGGAGCCAGGGCCGGTTCTCCAGGATCTAAGCTTCTCCCTAGCTCTCCTTGCCAGACTATAGATTGATGCAGCTGTTTTTGTAGATTCGACATAGAGTGCCGAGTTGTTTCCTCGGCACGAGCAGCAACATCGATGTTCTAGGTAGAATGCACAATTCAGAACCTCCCTTTATTTAGGGTCATTTTCTTATTTGGATTTGCATGCCACCTCATTGTTATAAATTAAAGATTGTTCTAGTATATTATTAATTCTCTCAATATGAAAAAAGTAAGATGAGCATGATTTATATATTCCAATCTAGCCATAATACTAAATAGAATGATAAAAATAAAAAATAAAAATATAAGAAGGGAAAAACCTAAACCAAGCCAATTCACTGGCTAATTACAAAATTATAGTCGTTAACATACCAGTTAACAACATCTACTAATTAAAATTTAACGTTACTAATTTAAATTTAATCGTTAAACATTTAGGGCCGGGTGTGATTAAGGGTGACTCAGAGTAGGGAGGAAGAGTGAGCGTGGAAAGGGGTAGCCACGTAAGAGAGGGTGGTACTGCATTATGCATTTCTCCCGATGTTCTTGCCACATTGCAAGCGCTGATCAACCGAAGATGCGGCTTTGGGGTGCAATTCTACTACACAATTTTTTTCCATTTCGTCATCGGGTTGGGAATTTTTCAATCTTTATTCCATTGGAATATTTTATCTGCTCGGCTTGACTGCAATGGGGCTAGTGACCGTATAACTTTCTGTTGCTCTATCAATGTTTGAGTCGTCCTCCACTCTAAATATCACCTGGAATGCTTCTGTCTCGCTCTTGCGCTTGAACCGCAGCACCGATGGATGAACCGACACAGACACACTCTCCGCTGCCTCGATAGATGCCATGTAGTTCGTCGCATCATCGTCCACGTTCGTCACTCGCCTCTGCACGACTTTGCTGCGGTGCAAATCGGAGGCGGCAATGGATGGATAGTTGAGGTCTGTGGGGTTGTCGGGACACTTAGTTGAAGTTTGCGTGAGGATCTGAAGTTCAGTCTGGTTGTATCCCAGACCGCAGAGATATCCAATGTAGTCTTGCTCGTTGGCGTCGTATACTAGGCCAGGGTGTGCAGCAGCATTTGGATTTACATGCCCTCCACCATAATAAAAGGGTGATGCAGGAGCTCGTGATGAATTCTTGATTGGTTCTCCAAGATTATCGAATGAGTAACCTGTTTTGTTTTGAAGTGTCAGTAACAAACAAAGATGTATCACTTAGTTACCTGTTGTTACTATGGCTGATTTGATTGCTTCTGGACTCCAGGCTGGACGATAGGATTTTAGTAGGGCGACAATCCCAGTGACGTGAGGGCAACACATGGAAGTTCCAGAGTCGAATTTGTATGATATTTGAGAGTTGTTGAATTGTGTCTTTGCTGCTAGAACTCCTGGAGCTGTAATATCGGGCTGAAAGAACAAAAATCTTCAAAAATTACCAAGAAAAAAAGCGAGAAAACATTTGAAAACCCTTGAGAATGTCTGGATCAATACGGTTGGGACCCGAGGATGAAATGGTGCCATGAAAGGAGCAGGCTTTTGATTTCTCAATGTTATCTGATGCTGTATATCCGCTATAGGATCTCTGCCAGACACAAAGGTAAGAAACAGAAAGAAGAACGAAGATTTTACCTTGTAGATTTTATATATGAAAAGATGGCTTGTCCAACTTCTTCATCAACATGAACCGAAGTCTTTGGGTGTCGTAGTTTATCGCTTGTCAGTCCTTTTCGCGAATCTTTTGACAGCATAGATCCCGATGGGCACGTCGGACATGTAATCTCTTTGATATTCGCACCGGTGTATACTACTTGGGGTTTGGATAGCAAGCAAAGCAGAAAAGATATGGGGAGCGATGCCAAGGATCTCGTCAAGCACACCAAGCTCTTCATCGATGGGCGATTCGTGGACGCTGTCTCAGGTTGTGATCTTTGCTTTTCTTGTGCTTTTGCGGTGAGCGTGAAATGGTTTTGTGGATCTTTTGCAGGCAAGACGTTCTCCACTTTCAATCCCAGCAACTCGGAATGTATTGCTCAAGTCGCCGAGGGAGACGCGGCGGATGTGGATCTGGCCGTGAGAGCCGCGCGCGAAGCATTTGACCACGGGCCCTGGCCACGCCTTGCTGCTGCTGTGAGTTATTCCTTCTTCCTTCTTTCTTCTTATCTTTTGTTCATGCTCGTTTGGTAGGAAAGAGGAAGGATACTTTACAAGTTCGCGGATGTGATCGAGGAACATCTCGACGAACTGGCAACTCTTGAGACCCTCAACAACGGAATGTTGATCGATCTAAGCAAGGGGATAATTGCGGGTTCGGTTGCCTCTCTGCGATACAATGCAGGTACTACAAACAAATTTTCAATATCGAAACACTGCTGAACCAGTGGAGTGGCTTTTTTTTTCTCAGGCTGGGCTGACAAGCTCAATGGAAAGACCTTGCGAACTGATTCTACTCGGATGTGCTACACCCTTTTGGAGCCAATTGGTGTGGTTGGAGCGATTGTTCCGTGGAACTTCCCGGCTTATTTGTTTCTCAACAAAGTCGGGTCTGCGTTAACTTGTGGAAATACGATCGTTGTCAAGGTTGCCGAGCAGACACCTTTGACAGGACTGCTCCTGGCGAGTCTTTCTCAAGAGGTAAGAAAGACTTGCACTACACTTGCACACAAAAGTCATTTTTTCTTCACGAATATAGGCAGGGATTCCCGCGGGAGTCCTCAATGTTATTCCTGGTTATGGTCCCACTGCAGGAGCCGCGATTTCGAAGCATATGAGCGTGGATAAGGTAAGAAAGCTTGCAATTGAAAAGAAAAGTTCCTTTTTTTCCTCAGGTCACATTTACTGGTTCCACTGAAGTTGGAAGAATGATAATGGAGAGTGCTGCGAGAAGCAACTTAAAGCCCGTCACACTGGAGCTTGGCGGCAAATCTCCGTTTATAATCTGCGAGGATGCCGACCTAGACTCGGCTGTGGCCGTCTCTCAAGATGCCATTTTCATGCATCAGGTGAAATTTTCAGGATGGGAACTTGTTTGGAAATGATGACATGTGTTTCAGGGACAAGTCTGTGTTGCTGCATCGCGAGTCTTTGTTCACGAAAGTATTCATGACGAGTTTATCAAGAGGTCTGTCAAGCTGGCAAGCGAACGTGTAATTGGAGATCCTTTCCAATCCGGAGTCCAAAATGGTCCCCAAGTAAGAAAATATCCTCTCTTGATCTTTCGGATACTAGTCACGAGCTGTTTTATCAGATCAACCAGGAGCAGCTGGACAGAGTTTTGAGCTACATTGAGTCGGGAAAAAAAGAAGGTGCCAGCCTTCTAGTGGGAGGCAAACGCATCGGCGAGAAAGGATTTTACATCCAGCCAACAATTTTTGGAGACGTCAAGGTTTGCTGTGTTAAGATTCTCTTACTCTTTTCTCAAAACATCCAGGACATTTGTGTAGCAATCTATGAAGATTGCCAGCGAGGAAATCTTTGGTCCCGTGCTTTCAGTGCTCAAGTTCAAGTAAGAAAACTTCGTTTATACCTTGGTTTATCTGATGGTAATTACTTCACTGAGTCAGGACTCTTGACGAAGCCGTGGAGCTTGCAAACAGCACACACTACGGTCTAGCAGCGGCGGTCTTCAGCAAGAACATTGACACAGTCAATCTTCTGACCAGGTCGATCAAATCGGGCGTTGTCTATGTGAATTGCTACCTGGGAGACGGACCAGCAGTACCGTTTGGAGGCTACAAGATGAGTGGAATCGGTCGAGAGAATGGATACGAAGGCTTGCTTCCATATCTCCAGCACAAGTCCATTCTCATGCCTATGGAAAACTCTCCTTGGAATTGACTCTTTCGTTTTTCTTGTTTCACTTGTTCTGATACCGTCTTTTACAAGATGTGCTTCTTCACCCAACAATCGGTCAAGATAAGTTACTAGTTCAGGCTTCCTTGTTTCTTTTTTCTGATTCTCAATATGTGTTTTCCAGAGACAATTCATAGCTTTGATAACAGGAATTATCAGCCATTTCGTGTATAATGATCTCAACGGGGAGCTTTGCAAGCTCGAACCGAAAAGGCACACGGGGATCTTCTTTGTCAAGTACAGCAGGATCACTGCTCTTCACAACGAGTTCCTAAGCGTCAACAGTGACAGGAAGGAAGCCTCTTTTATTCTGGTTTACAGTGATCACGGAACAAAGATCCGGGAGTGAATTACGCCCAGGTTGTGGACAGTGGGGTTGTCAAGGTGGTCGAACAAGTTCTCGATGCCTTCACCTTGAGCTCAGCGAAAGTATCGGGTCGTCAGCGAGTCCGAGCGGATCAGACGCACCTCCGGGGTAGATCTTGTCCAGTCCCTCGCCAAGCGGTCCACCTCTCGACAGCTCCCATGAGGATAACTTGGCAGGCCCAGATGGCAAGGATGCTCTGTGAGGTTGGAATTTCCCAGGTAGTCGAGGCCACCTTCCTTAAAGATCTGCGAGCTGGCCTTGAACCACAGAGCCTCACCAAACTTAACGCTCCGAGAACTCTGAGCATGGCCCACCTGGAGTGGATGACTCACGGTGCTTGTAGGTTTTGTACCTCTTGTTGCACGTGGACACTTGCAACCATAAAATCCAGGTGGAAGTGCTCCAAGGTGACTCTCTGGCCGGGTGCCAAGAAGGAGAGCCCATGGCAAAGTGGTGGAGCCTCCTTGGTTGCCATTACACTGACTGAACGGACTATCCACTCATGCACGGATGGGTGAAGGTTATTGCCATTGCATGCTGCAAGCCAATCCTCAGCTATGAACCTACTTACCAAAAACCTCATTGTCTATTATCTGAGATGTTGTCAAGGACTAGAAGGTACTGTGGCCTCTCCATCTTCTCTGTGGTGTTTGGATATGACATGCTGGAAACTTTCATAGGTTGCAACTCGATGAATAACACCTCAAACAACACCTTGTAAATAAGTAGCGTGTGCCCATCCTTATACACACATAAAGTACTGCTCTCCTTTCTAATGCTCGACATCACTCCCATTACATAAAGAGTCATGTGCTGGAACTGGGGGGTGTTGGAATTGGTGGTGGTGCATTCGGGAATGCCTAGACCATCATTAATTCTGGCTCTTGGGTGTACAATACAACATAGTTGTTCATGTGAAAGTTGTGATCATGGCAATAAAATGACCATGTATCATAATTGACAAACTACCCATCGCAATATAAATCTATCTCTTGCAAAAGAATATGATGAGATGCAATAAAGAGAACAAAACCATGTGTCACCACATATAACTTTGATAAGTCTCCTGGCCATATCAAACATTTCTTGGTCCCATGTTTAATTCACACCTTATGGCAATCAATTTGTAGCAGGCAGGTTTGGTTTCATATCAATACATAAGGTAAACACTAGTGCCCATAATTGTTACTACGTTTTGATTGCCCTAGGGGCCAAAATGTGATTTGAAGTGTATGGGTATAGCATTCAATATGGGGTTCTACCACATATGTATGACATGTGAGATTGCTATACCACATTAGCTTGCCACATGGGTATATGTGATGTAATACAAAATATAGCAATGTTTTTTTTGTCTTTCATACTGCACTACTTTCCTGACCGAGAGCAACAGCTTTCCCACAATCTTGGGTGCAACATGGGCACTTGAAAAACAAGTTTTAGCAAGTGGTGGGCACAACAAACATGTATTAATCAAGGTTTGCAGGCGGGCAGCTCTCGATGTTTTGTGTACACCCACTTTGTGTAGGGACAGCATAACACACCTAACACATGCAGGAATGAGAATCACAGCTGCCTATGCAAAAAGCTCTCACCCAAACCTTGATCAATGTGTGCTCTTTAAGTGCCTATATCACAGTGGATTGTGGTTGGCATTGCATCAGATTGTGGGTTAGAGATTTTATTTGTTTGCTCAAGTGCATTGCAACTCCAAGTGAGTTAAGCTTTCCTTTATTTAGCTTTTCTTATTGGTATAAGCTTTGTGCTTATTCTAGTGAATGCAATCATGGGGCATTGAAACACCACATGTACACGCAAGTAAATGTTTATAATGATTACTTATAACTTTTTCAATTCTCTATATGGCACTTATGTAAGTGTTTGCATGATGTGGTAGGGGGCATACAAGTGATGCCCTCTACTTTTATCAATCACTCAGCACGTAAATCATTTTCTTTTCTTAGAGAGATGATTTGCAATGAAGTGTGATTTACACATACATGACCACACTCATGTGAACACGCTTTTGCATTAGTCCCTTGCTGGTAAGCTTTGAAATGCATAATAAACAACATGAACTTGTGTCTTATACAAAGCATGAATAGAGATTGGGGGATAACAGTGTTTGGAGATCAACCATATATATGGTTAAGTTCATGTACAAGGATATTAATAAGTGTGTGGCATTATAAAATTCTATCCATTAATGCACTTGTTTTTTTTTAATTTCCCAGAAGAACATTCATGCTCCGATGGGATGAGTGTCACAAATTTTCAGGTGAACTTGCTACTTATATGTGTATGGCCTCAACATTGAGGACCATGTTGTACTCTATTCCCCAAACCCACGGAGCATGCATGTTTGGGGTTTCTAATAGGATCTTGTTCCTCTACAAATCATGAAACAAACAATTCCATTATAAATCATAGAGGATCCCAGTGCAATAAAGATGCTAGAGGAAGTTGCACCAACACTTTAGAAACATGCATTGACTAGAGTTTTTGTTACTATAGATGGTGTAATGATTGCATTTGAAGTGTAAGGATTCAATTCAATACAATTGAAATTCATTTGTTAACTCTTGTGGGACTTTTGTAGTGGGGTTGTGGAGTCTGAAGCATAATTTTCTATTTCATAACACAAGGAGTCTTATGAGATGCTGAAGGATCTAGAGCTCCCTCCACATGAGGAGGTGGAAGAGATGCCTCCATGCAAGGAGGTGCAATACAAGGAGATGGAAGAGGAGGTGCAACATGACAAAATGGAGGAGGTGCTTTCATATGAGGAAGTGTAATACATGGAAGATATGATTCTATATGAGGAGGTGCAATGTAACAAAATGGAGGATGTACTTCCTCTTAAGGAGGTGTAACATGGGGAGATGAAAGAAGTGCTTCCACATGAGGAGATGGAGGAAGAGGCGTAATGTGAGGAGACAAAAGAAGAGTTTTCATGCAAAATGGTGAAGGAGTTTCAAGTGCAATATAAATTCATCAATGAGTAGGTTTCATATAATGTAGTGGAGGCTCTAAGCTTACAAATGCTTAAGGCTATAATGGACACTCCACATGACATGGTGCAAGTGGAGGTGGAGGCTCCAATGGTGGAGGTGGAAGGTCCAAACTCACAGTTCACATGAGATGCTCAAGGATTCTTGTGATGATATCTAGATTATACAAATGGAGGCTACACACAATGCTTCTTGCGAGCATGCAGTTTTATGTTGCAACTAAACATGTTAAGAACAAACTTTATGAAAAAGGTGTTTAAGTCCTAGTATCTTTTAATGTAGAAGAGAGGTAGTTTTCCCCATTCATTTAAGTTGGTGTGTCTCCCACAAAATTATTTTTCAGAGTTGTTTTCTAACGATTTTCAAGCTAGAGTATGCATTAATGAGGATGTCAATCTTCCCTAAGGCAAGGAGAGTGTTGCAAATGTAACTTTAGGTATCGAAAAATATTTATCAAACTTTGCAGACACTCTTTCCTTATTGTCATGATAACAAAAGGTTAGTACTATTTGTTCCTTTTATATTCTCCACCCAAGTTAGTTGAGAAATTATTTATTACATGTGCATATAACTAGATGATTATAAGGACGGAATTCCTAAATGCTATTAATCAAGCATATTTAACTTGGTTAAAGAAACTCATTTGTTAAGTTACATTTGTTAGTGTTGAGAACCCATACGATATTGAGTATAATTCCTTAATATTGCTACATGATAGCTTACCATGTTTATCAGACACCCTCACTACCATACTTTATATGTTAGTTTCATTCTAGATCCATATGCTATTTTTACAAAGTGTCTAAAAGGTATATTTATAGAATGTAGAGAGTGTTTTGAACCTATTATCGCATCTCAATTCTCCATTTAGCACCATTCTATATTTAGCAAGTTTCGAGCAACTAAATCTTATGACTAGAGTAAAAGCCCAAAGCATGCATTCCTTAAGGGGAGAGGGGGTTGTGGGTGGTTGCAAATGTATAATATGAATAATATTTAGCTTGCATAGTTGACCACCTAAAATATGAATTTGGCTTTTATTAGGTTGTATCACTGCTTATTTTGCATCCAATTTGGGTCTAAGCTTAAGCTCCATGCTACTCTAGTAAGTTGGGTACCCTCCTCCTTGCGTTAGGCCAAAATTGTATTAAACATTGTTTAACATTGTTTTGCATACATGAGCTAGATATAGGAAGTTAGTGCTTGTAGGGGATATTGAGTGCATATTAAACCCTTGTTTTGTAACAAAATGGCCTTGGAGTTTGACTCCAAATTCATGTGTGTTACAGAAGTGATAGAATATGAAGAACATCTTTGAGAAACAAAAAAAGAATTTGCAAAACCTTTCAATAAGATGTTTAGAATTATAATCAAGAAAAAAACAACTCATAACTAAAATAACTTGATAATCATGAAATTTAGAGTAATAAATTAAAATAACACTACTATTAAACAAACATACCTTGTTAATGAGTTATTTTGGAATTTTTTTCATACTACCACAACAATAGGAGATTAGTATTGTTAGTTCCTTTATTAGTCTTTTTTGTTCAAGTATTAATAAACTAAGTTTTGGCCACATAAGCATAAGGAAAGAAGTGATTATTTACCCAAATGTAAAGAATGGCCTAAACACTTAGTGTTATTCCTGTATCCAAATTCAAAATATAAAACCATTCCATACTTATTAAGTTTTTGAATTTATCCCAAAAACTATCTCGAAGGATTGGCGTGAAAGGCCAAAATGAGCTTTTATATAGGGGAGGAAAGGACTATAGAATTCAAAATATATAGTAAGGATAGTAGATAGGTGTATGGAAGATCACTTGAGGCTGTTTATTTTTATTTAAAAAATATTAAATTGCTCAACCATATATTATGTGGAACTAGCATCAATAATAATAGTAAAAAGAAGAATAAATAGTTAGCAAAGCACCATTAGTATAAGCATGATCATATTGAAAATCCTTTGTTCAAAATAAAATAGGAGGGGATGAGTCATTGTTAGTAATATATATTTGTTATTGTTGTCCATTAGGATTACTAGCTATATAAGCTTAAGGAAGTTGTTATAGAAAGAGAATAACATGAGAAACTAAATGAGTATGATATGGATATTGACAACAAAATTGGGAAATACATTCAGAATGATGACAAAACCAACTATATGACCAAATTGATCACAATTATAACAACTACTATTGAAATGACTATAAGAACAAGATGAATCTTGTTGAAACATGAGCACCAATAGATGGTGACTGAGAGTAAAGTGTTAAAGTAGGAGTGTTGGAGGAAGTATACTAAAAAAAACAACAATTCTAGTCACAAACTGCAACCTCAAAAGGACACTAATCATTCATCATACAATGGTAGAATATTCTTAAGGAAAAGTGTCCAAAAACTAAAGTAAGAAATCCTCTAGGGTAAAGTAATGCTCATTTGCACAAAAAGATCCTTAAAATATTAAATATGTTAACCAAATGGTACCCTCAATGCAGCTAAATTGGTGGTGAAGGAAGTGTTTCCTCTATGTTAATCAATAGAAAATATAATGCACATATGTTCTCATATACCACCTAAGGTTAATTTTGAGAAATATTGTTAATTAGTAATGTTTTACATTTGATTTTCAAGGCAAAGACAAGCTAAAAGACTTGCTCTATTCATGTAGAGGGGATTGAGAAGTTGTCTACAAATCTTAATTTCTACATCAACTATAAAAATTGTGAAAGATTTTTTGTTACCATTGCTAAGTCTTTATTCTTCTTTGTGATAATTCAGTAAATTTCCACTTGATTACAAGGGTTCCAGACGGTCATTTACTTTCTTGGTGCTATCTCTCTTGTTTAAGTTCTACACACTCCATAAAAAAAATGGGAGTAGTCAAGAGGCATAATCAATTGCTCTGGCTACCACCAATGGATAAGCCTATGCAGATGTGGGGCTCGGCCGAGGCATACAGCTTGTTGGCTCCCCCATCACTTGTTGAGTTGCTGATCACTCTCCATGCACTAGCTTGCTGGTAGGTGGAATTGGCGAGCTAGATGTCGATGCCAGTTGTCGTGGAGAGGACACTGGCGAGGGAAGAACGCAGAGACCATCTGTAGAACGGATCAATTCATTGACAAAGCTGTACACTTCGGGGCATGCAAAACCCTCCCTGCTGTTGCAGGCAGAAGCAGTGGGAAGACCATATTTGACAAGGAGGATTCTTGCTTGTGAGAGTGGTGAACCTGATTGCAGAAGCTACTACTGTTTGCATTCTCTGCCTGAGCCATGATGGTTCTTCAAACTCAAGAAAACTAGGATCACCATGAGATGGTATGCTTGTCAATTGGGCTGAAAGAACAAAAATCTTCAAAAAGTACCAAAAAAAAAAAAAACAAAGCATTTGAGAATGTCTGGATCAACCGAGTTGGGACCAGAGGATGAAAAGGGTGCCATGGAAGGAGCAGGTTTCGGTTTCTCAAAGTTAGGATCGCTGCCAGACACAAAGCTAAGAAACGGAAAGAGAGAAAGGAAGAAAATAACGCTTTTACCTTGTAAACTTGATATATGAAAAAATGGCTTGTCCAACTCTTTCATCAACATGAACTGAAGAAAGAATCTCATTTCCAGGATCTTCAGTGCCAGCTCCACCAGCTCAAGAAACTTCGTGTAATGGAACCTGTGGCCCTCTCAAGCATGCCACAATCTTTCCCCGGACTTAGACCCGCTCATACACATTTGCCAGCATTATTAATGATTTCAAATGAACTCAAATCAAAGATTAATTATTTTACCTGGCTGGAAAGTTGGAAGTTGGCAAGCCAACATCGGCACCCGCAGCAAGATGATACCACCGTTTTGACAATCTTTGCCTCGTAAAACTAGAACCCTGAGTCCAAAAAAGTGAGATGTATAATAGACTATACGCCCTGTACTTGAAACGAGTCATTGTTGCCAAGGAAAAGATCTGCAAAGTAGGCTCGATCAAGAGTGCTCGCTCCAACAGTAATGATCAGGGGGCTACACTTCCCACCGAGCCCGGCCATTTGTTTCCAGCGGAAGCCACCACCACAATGCCTTTCTGCATGGCATGGAACGCCAATGGACGTAGAATCAAGGAAGTAATCACCCGCTGAACCACCGAAAGATGCAGAAATGATATCCACGCCATCGTGGATTCCCATATCAAATGCGCTGAGAATGTGAGCGTTTTCACACCGTACGGTGCTGGCCGTGACGTTTCTCCAGTATACCTTGTAGATTGCGAGACATGAGTCTGGAGCTCCACCTTTTGCAGTGCCTTTCGCGTAGCCAAACCAGTTTGCGTTTCTCACAAATCGGCCTCCGGCAGTGGAAGTCACATGAGTTCCATAGCCTTGAACATCTCTTGGAGAAAGAACTTCTTGGTGTGCTTTTACATAAGCCTCAGGAGCATCTTGCAGGCCGTGGGTAAAGAATCTGGCACCTATAAGTTTCCTGAAAGATCAAAAGTTGAACAAATTTAGATTCACGTGAGTCATGCTTTTACTTGTTGCAGTGAGAAGAGTGGAATTGCTCCCCAGTTTCGCAAGTTCCTTTCCATCTTTCGGGGATTGGTCCCATGCCATTGATCGGAAAAGCTTTCCGACTCTGACCATACTCGTGGAGAAGACCAGTAAAAAGAAGAAAATGATGGAAAAAGGAAATACCTGAATCCAAAACGCCGATGATAATGTCTTTGCCAAATTTTGCTTTTCTCCATAGCCATGATGATTCAGTAGCTTCACTAGCCCCATACAAGGATTTCTGTCCATTTCCATAGAGGCCGAGAAACTCCCATGAGGTCAATGTGGTGTGGACCGTGTGGATTTTGTTGGGAAAGACGGACAACACGTTTGGTAGGCCTACAGCGTGAGGAGAGATTGACTTACATTTTTTATTTCTATGAGCGTTAGAGTTAGAAGCTTGTTCTTCTGTAAGACGAGCCGAGAAGCCACTGAATCCATGCCTGTAGCTAAAACCCAGTGAATCTCTGGCAGCTTCGACACTGGCATACACAAATATGGATGTCAAATTCATACTCTTTTGTATTGTGATCGAAGTTTTACCTTCCTAAAACGTCCTGAAGGAGTGTGTGATGGGAGCTAGTAACAGCATCTGGATGGAGCGATTTATCGCAATGTGAGTGTCTCCTTGATCTCGTCCCTGGAAATAGAATCAAACGCAAGGGCTTATAAACAAGAAGTATATACACCTGTGCGATGGAGAGGTGATCATTTATATTGGAGGAGACGCGGAATGTGTCCGTGTGACGACTAATTTAGGAGAGTTCGTCCATGACCCGTGATGCTAAATTTAAGAAGCAAGAAACATTCATACAACGAATGTTCGCTGCAGTGAAGCTGCAACATTGAGCTACGAACATTGTAAAGTTGACGATTTTCTTCTTTTACCTTGTGGCCTCGCCAGCTTAGCGCCCTCGCTAGCTCATAGAAGAGTTTGTGGTCAATACCTTTTTTGCCACAGGAATAGTGATAGCTTTCCTCTTGCCAATCTTCACCTCTTGAATGCGTTGCTGAAGGAGCCTCAGCTCCGTCTATGTACACCTTCCTCATCTCAGCATACGCATTCCGAGTATCAGAAGGAAGCCTTTGCTTTGCATTGAAGCCGCTCCTAAACTTCCCATCGAAGTAGCTGCTAGCAAAGCTTCGCGCCTGGGACCTGTGAACGTCTCTTGGGGACCCCGGAGAAACGCCTCCACCTCGGGATGACCCGGAACCGTTGCCAAAGGTTGACACCACCTGTGTGGATCCGGCTTCTGGAGCTTCGAGAGCTCGTTGGTCCTCTCCTGGGCTATGTCGCAAAGAGCACAGTTCCCTTTGATCGATACCAGATGCCTCCATCCCGGAAAACTTTCGCCACAAAGTCCTTGAGCTTCTGGCTCTTGAGATTGAGTATGAAGCTCTCCAGCATTGTGGCGTCGTCCAGCCATAAAAACACGTTCATCACGTTGCTTGCGAGCTCTGCCACCTTCAGGTCTCTGGTTGTGACCACCCCACAAAACTTCGGATAGAGGTAGGAGGTATCGTTCTTCCATCAAACGCGTTGAGCAGCGTCTTGCTTCCAGAGGTTGATGAGCAACTTGCAAAGATCATATCGCTTTGCATGCGATAGGTAAGGGGATCAATTGCCCCAAGATTATACTAATAATGATTATGCTCCAATGGATGTTTGCTGTGGCATCCATGGTCTGGAAATTGATTGGCTTTTGCATAAGCCTCCGAGGCAAAAAATCTAACAGAACACGAACACGGATTGTTATGTTGGAAATTTTATTCCATCCGAAAAATTGCTTATGATCTGCTTGGGTTGACTGCAATGGGGCTAGTGACCGTATACTTTCCGTTGCTCCATATCAGCTTCCCGAAAACATCCTTATCAATGTTTGAGTCGTCCTCCACTCTAAATATCACCTGGAATGTTTTCGTCTCGCCCTTGTGCTTGAACTGCAGCACCGACGGATGAACCGACACCGACACACTCTCCGGTGCCTCGATAGATGCCGTGTAGTTCGTCGCATCATCGTCCACGTTCGTCACTCGCCTGTGCAAGACTTTGCTGCGGCGCAAATCGTAGATGGCAATGGATGGATAGTTGAGGTCTGTGGGGTTGTCGGGACACTTAGCGGAAGTTTGCGTGAGGATCTGAAGTTCAGTCTGGTTGTATCCCAGACTGCAGAGATATCCAATGTAGTCTTGCTCGTTGGCGTCGTATACTAGGCCAGGGTGTGCAGCAGCATTTGGATTTACATGCCCTCCACCAAAATCAAAGGGTGATGCAGGAGCTCGTGATGAATTCTTGATTGGTTCTCCAAGATTATCGAATGAGTAACCTGTTTTGTTTTGAAGTGTCAGTAACAAACAAAGATGTATCACTTAGTCACCTGTTGTTACTATGGCTGATTTGATTGCTGCTGGACTCCAGGCTGGGCGATAGGATTTTAGTAGGGCGACAATCCCAGTGACGTGAGGGCAAGACATGGAGGTTCCAGATGAAAATTGGTATGGTGCTTCAGAGTTGTTGAATTGAGTGTATGCTGCTAGAATATTTACTCCTGGAGCTGTAATATCCGGCTAAAAGAACAAAAATCTTCAAAAACTACTAAAACAAATACACAGAAAACATTGACAAACCTTGAGAATGTCTGGATCAATGAAGTTGGGACCAGAGGATGAAAAAGGTGCCATGAAAGGAGCAGGCTTTTGATTTCTCAATGATATCTGATGCTGTATATCCGCTACAGGATTTCTGCCAGGCACACAAAGGTAAGAAACAAAAAGAAGAACGAAGATTTTACCTTGTAGATTTGATATATGAAAAGATGGCTTGTCCAACTTCTTCATCGACGTGAACCGAGGGAAGAAATTCATTTCCAGGATTTTGATCGACTAGAGTGGAGTTGCAAAAGATAATCCCAGCTCCACCAGCTCGAGAAACTTCGAATGATTGGAATGCTGGATGCATCGGCCCTCTCAAGCATGCCACAATCTTTCCCCGGACTTTCTTGGGATCCAAAGACTGGCTCATACACAATTGCCTGCAGCATTAATATTTCTTTAACTCAAATCTATGGATTTGATATTTTACCTGGCTGAAAAGTTGGAAGTTGGCAAGCCAACATCGGCTCCCGCAGCAAGATGATACCACCGCTTTTTTAATCTTTGCTTCGTCATACTAAAGCCCCGAAATGATTTATTGTTGCCAAGGTAAAGGTCTCCAAAATAGGATCGATCAAGAGTGCTCGCTCCAACAGTGATGACCCAAGGAGCTACATTTTGCACAGAGCCAGGACCCATAGTTTGCTGGTCGTTTCCAGCAGAAGCTACCACCACAATGCCTTTCTGCATGGCATGGAATGAACCGATCGACAGTGCGTGCTGGAAGTAATCGTCCAATCCACTGATCGATGCAGAAAAAATATCTACGCCATCGTGGATTCCCATATCAAATGCGCTGAGAATGTGAGAATCCGAGCACCTTACATTGCCCTCCGTGATGTTTCTCCAGCAGATCTTATAGATCGCGAGGCGTGAGTCTGGAGCGCCACCCTTTGCAGTGCCTTTTGCGTAGCCAAGCCAGTTTGCGTTTTTCACGAATCGGCCTCCGGCAGTGGAAGCCGTGTGAGTTCCGTGGCCGTGAACATCTCTCGGAGAAAGAACTTCTTGGTGTGCTTTTGCATAAGCCTCAGGACCATCCTGTAGGCCGTGAGAAAAGAATCTTGCACCGATAAGTTTCCTGAAAGATCATAAGTTGAAAAAATTTAAATTGACTTGAGTGTTGTTTTTACTTGTTGCAGTGCGAAGCGTTGAATTGCTCCCCAGTTTCGCAAGTTCCTTTCCATCTTTCGGGGATTGGTCCCATGCCATGATCCGAAAAGCTTTCCGACTCTGGCCATACTCCTGGGAAAACCAACATTAGTCCAAGTCCTCTCCCATGCTAGCAAAGTTGGCGGACCTTCTCCTGCCGACCATGAAAACAAGAAGAAGATGAAAGAGAGAAATACCTGAATCCAAAACACCAATGATAACGTCTTTGCCGAATTTTGATTTCTTCCATAACCACGATGATTCAGTAGCTTCACTAGCACCAAACAAGGATTTCTCTCCGCTTCCATAGAGTCCCAGAAATTCCCATGAGTTTGTGGTGTGGACCGTGTGGATTTCATTGCGAAAGACGGACAAGACGTTTGGGAGGCCTGCAATATGGATAAAGACTGACTTAGATTATGTATAATGTTTCTATGATGCGTTACCAGAGAGTTTAGCAGCTTGTTCTTCTGTCAAACGAGCCGAGAAGCCACTAAATCCATGCCTGTAGCTAAAACCGATTGATTCTCTGGCAGCTTTGACACTGGAATACACGAATTTGGATGAATTCATAATTTTTTTCTTCTGGAGTTTTACCTTCCTAGAACATCCCCAAGGAGTGCGTGATGGGAGCTTGTAACAGCGTCTGGATGGAGGGATTTATTGACATTCCCCAAATAGACAATGTGAGTGTCTCCTTGATCTCGTCCCTGGAAATAAAATCAAACCATGGGCTTTAAAAGATTGTCTCGCGCGAGATAAGAAAGGTAAAGACCTGAGAGATGGAGATGGCACTTAAACTTAGAAGAAAGTATAAACAGATTGAGAGCGCCATGAACTTGAGGAATTGTATTTGAGAATTGCAGGAAGAAGTTATGATCATTTATATTGGAAACTGCTGAATGTTTCATGTGACGCGCATCTCAGGTCGTGTTGTTTGATTCTACAATGAAATACGACTTATTCAGGAGAATTTGTCAAGGGCTAGTGATGTTAAGTATATCAGGAGTTGACAAATTGTAGCTCTATGAACTATGACTTATTCAGGAGAATTTGTCGATGGTAAATTATATCACGAGAATTTAACATTACTAGCTGACAGATTATAAACCGAGTGTTTCCTCCTTGTCCTTGGAAATCAATCAAGCTGAGAAAGAACTACTACATCCTGACGCTGTTAATACTGGTTTGCATCACGTACTTCTAGCAGGCATTCTAGGAAGATGGGTTTAATTAGTGGCTAGAATTTCTAAAATTAAGATTATTGTTAGACAAGGTTAAGCCCTAAACCATTCCGGCCGATGGAAACGATCCATGGTAGATTTTCTTTTGGTGATCTTGTAGCCCTAACAAGTTTTCTTCTTTTCATTTCATCTGACGAGAACGAACTTTCTTCTTGACGAAACCAGATGACGAAGAAAGCCGGCCCCCAAGAAACAGTAATGGCTTGGCCTCTTTCGTCACTTTAGTCTTTACTCGTGGGGGATTTTTGTTGTTTTGTTTGCAGCAGGAGATTGAGCTACCAAAACGCTTGGGATCGCACTAGTTTTTCGTTGTTTCCTTGTACGGTTTCTTATATTCGTTTGCAGCATGGGATTGAGCTCCAAATGCTCGGAAACGCGGCTAAATAGTGCAAATGGATCACTGGAACTCACCGAACGGTAAATGTGTTTTGATGCTAGTTTATCAAGATTTGCGTTTGTCAATCCTTTTTACGACACCTACCACTGAACTAACAGGTCCACGTCCACGTCGATATCATATCTCATTGATATTCGCACCGGTATATACTACTCGAGGCTTAGCAGCAAAGCAAAAAAGATATGGGGAGCGATGCCAGGGATCTCGTCAAGCACACCAAGCTCTTCATCGATGGGCGATTCGTGGACGCTGTCTCAGGTTGTGATCTTTGCTTTTCTTGTGCTTTTGTGGTGAGAGTGAAATGGTTTTGTCGATCTTTCGCAGACAAGACGTTCCCCACTTTCAATCCCAGCAACTCCGAATGTATTGCTCAAGTCGCCGAGGGAGACGCGGCGGATGTGGATCTGGCCGTGAGAGTCGCACGCGAAGCGTTTGATCCGGGCCCTGGCCACGACTTGCTGCTGCTGTAAGTTCTTCCTTCTTCATTCTTCCTTCTTATTTATCTTTTGTTCATGCTCGTTGGAAGGATACTTCACAAGTTCGCGGATGTGATCGAGGAACATCTCGACGAACTGGCAACTCTTGAGACCCTCAACAACGGAATGTTGATCGATCTAAGCAAGGGGATAATTGCGGGTTCGGTTGCCTCTGCGATACAATGCAGGTACTACAAGCATATTTTAAATAAAGAGTTCTTTTGAAAAACTGCTGGACCAGTGGAGTGGCTTTTTTTTCTCAGGCTGGGCTGACAAGCTCAATGGAAAGACCTTGCGAACTGATTCTACTCGGATGTGCTACACCCTTTTGGAGCCAATTGGTGTGGTTGGAGCGATTGTTCCGTGGAACTTCCCGGCTCATATGTTTCTCACCAAAGTCGGGTCTGCGTTAACTTGTGGAAATACGATCGTTGTCAAGGTTGCCGAGCAGACACCTTTGACAGGACTGCTCCTGGCGAGTCTTTCTCAAGAGGTAAGAAAGACTTGCACTACAAAAAGTCATTTTTTCTTCACGAATATAGGCAGGTATTCCCGCGGGAGTCCTCAATGTTATTCCTGGTTATGGTCCCACTGCAGGAGCCGCGATTTCGAAGCATATGAGCGTGGGTAGGGTAAGAAAGCTTGCAATTGAAAAAAAAAGTTGAAAAGAAAAGTTCCTTTTTCTCCTCAGGTGACATTTACTGGTTCCACTGAAGTTGGAAGAATGATAATGGAGAGTGCTGCGAGAAGAAACTTAAAGCCCGTCACACTGGAGCTTGGTGGCAAATCTCCGTTTATAATCTGCGAGGATGCCGCGGCTGCGGCCGTCTCTCAAAATGCCATTTTCATGCATCAGGTGAAATTTTCAGGATGGGAACTTGTTTGGATATGATGACATGTGTTTCAGGGACAAGTCTGTGTTGCTGCATCGCGAGTCTTTGTTCACGAAAGTATTCATGACGAGTTTATCAAGAGGTCTGTCAAGCTGGCAAGCGAACGTGAAATTGGAGATCCTTTCCAATCAAAGGATTTTACATCCAGCCAACAATTTTTGGAGACGTCAAGGTTTGCTGTGTTAAAATTCTTTTACTCTTTCTCAGAACATCCAGGACATTTGTGTAGCAATCTATGAAGATTGCCAACGAGGAAATCTTTGGTCCCGTGCTTTCAGTGCTCAAGTTCAAGTAAGAAAACCTCGTTTATGCCTTGGTTTATCTGATGGTAATTACTTCACTGAGTCAGGACTCTTGACGAAGCCGTGGAGCTTGCAAACAGCACACACTACGGTCTAGCAGCGGCGGTCTTCAGCAAGAACATTGATCACAGTCAATCTTCTGACCAGGTCGATCAAATCGGGCGTTGTCTATGTGAATTCCTACCTGGGATACGGACCAGCAGTACCGTTTGGAGGCTACAAGATGAGTGGAATCGGTCGAGAGAATGGATACGAAGGCTTGCTTCCATATCTCCAGCACAAGTCCATTCATGCCTATGGAAAACTCTCCTTGGAATTGACTCTTTCGTTTTTCTGGTTTCACTTGTTCTGATACCGTCTTTTACAAGATGTGCTTCTTCACCCAACAATCGGTCAAGATAAGTTACTAGTTCAGGCTTCCTTGTTTCTTTTTTCTGATTCTCAATATGTGTTTTCCAGAGACAATTCATAGCTTTGATAACAGGAATTGGTTCCATTTCGTGTATAATGATCTCAACGAGGAGCTTTGCAAGCTCGAACCGAAAAGGCACACGGGGATCTTCTTTGTCAAGTACAGCAGGATCACTGCTCTTCACAACGAGTTCCTAAGCGTCAACAGTGACAGGAAGGAAGCCTCTTTTATTCTGGTTTACAGTGATCACGGAACAAAGATCCGGGAGTGAAGTTATGCCCAGGTTGTGGACGGTGGGGTTGTCAAGGTGGTCGAACAAGTTCTCGATGCCTTCACCTTGAGCTCAGCGAAAGTATCGGGTCGTCAGCGAGTCCGAGCGGATCAGACGCACCTCCGGGGTAGATCTTGTCCAGTCCCTCGCCAAGCTCTCGACAGCTCCCATGAGGATAACTTGGCAGGCCCAGATGGCAAGGATGCCTCTGTCTGTGGACGAGGTTGGAATTTCCCAGGTAGTCGAGGCCACCTTCCTTAAAGATCTGCGAGCTGGCCTTAAACCACACAGCCTCACCAAACTGAACGCTGGGGTGACGCAGCCGAGAGCTCTGAGTATGGCCCACCTGGAGTGGATGACTCACGGTGCTTGTAGGTTTTGTACCTCTTGTTTAATTTGATGATTGCATTGCATGTAGACAATTGCACACCATAAAATTCAGGTGGAAGTGCTCCAAGGTGACTCTCTGGCCGGGTGCCAAGAAGCGAGAGCCCATGGCAAAGTGGTGGAGCCTCCTTGGTTGCCATTACACTGACTGAACGGACTATCCACTCATGCACGGATGGGTGAAGGTTATTGCCATTGCATGCTGCAAGCCAATCCTCAGCTATGAACCTACTTACAAAAAACCTCATTGTCTATTGTCTGAGATGTTGTCAAGGACTAGAAGGTTGAATAACACCTCAAACAACACCTTGTAGCGTGTGCCCAACTCAACTACCTTTGAGAATATCCTTATACACACATAAAGTGCTGCTCTCCTTTCTAATGCTCAACATCACTCCCATTACATAAAGCGTCATGTGCTGGAACTGGGGGAGGATGGGGTTTTGGAATTGGTGGTGGTGCATTCGGGAATGCCTAGACCATCATCAATTCTGGCTCTTGGGTGTACAATACAACATAGTTGTTCATGTGAAAGTTGCAATTATGGCAATAAAATGACCATGTATCATAATTGACAAACTACCCATCACAATATAAATCTATCTCCTGCAAAAGAATATGATGAGATGCAAATAAAGAGAACAAAACCAACAAAATACTTGTGTCACCACATATAACTTTGATAAGTCTCCTAGCCATATCAAACATTTCTTGATCCCATGTTTAATTCACACCTTATGGCAATCAATCAGGCAGCTTTGGTGCCTTAACATTAAAGGCATGCATATGGTTAGTGCCCACATTATAAAAATACATTTTGATTGCCCTAGGATCAAAATGTGATGGCATTCAGTATGGGGTTGTGCCACATCAGTATGACATGTGAGATTGCTATACCACATCAGCTTGCCACACAGGTACATGTGATGTCATATGAAATATAGTGATGTTTTTTTTGTCTTTCATACTACAGTACTTTCCTGTCCAATTGAGAGCAACAGCTTTCCCACAATCTTAGGTGCAGCATGGGCACTTCAAAAACAAGTTTCATGAAGCGGTGGGCACAACAAGCACATATTAATCAGGGTTTGCAAGTGGGCGGCTCTTGATCTTTTGTGTGTTGCAACATGGGTGCTTAAAGAGCATATATTGATCAAGGTTTGGGTGAGAGCTCTTTGCATGTAGGCAATTTTGATTCTTGTTCTTTTGTATGTTATGTGCATTATGGCAAAAGGCTAGTATTTCTATCCAAATTAATACTTAAATTAGTTAGAAAAACTCATTTGTTAATTTGAAATTGCTAATGTTGGGAACCCCCACAATATTGAGTATATTCCCTCAAGTTACATAATAACTTACTAAACATCCTTACTATCATATCTTATGTGTTGATTCTATTCTGGATCCATATATTATTTCTAGAAAGTGTCTATAAAGCATATGTAGAGAGTGTGAGTGTTTTGAACCTTATGATGTTGTTAATGCATCTTAATTCACCATCTAGTGTCATTCTATATTTAGTAAGTTTTGAGATAATTCCTGGGACTAGGGTGAAAGCCCAAAACATGCATTCCTTAAAGGGGGGAGGAACTATAATATAAATAATGGTTTGATTGAATGGTTGATTATTTAAAATATTAGTTTGGCTTTTGTTCAATAATATCACTCTTTATTTTGCATCCAGCTTAGTTCTAAACCTAAACTCTATGTTACTTTAGTTGGTGGGGTACCCTCTTCTTTGTGTTAACCCACTAATATACCAAAATTGTGTTAAACATTGTTTAACACTATTTTGCATGTAAGAGTTAAATACAAAGAGTTAGTGCTCATAAGAGATATTAAGTGTGTATCAAATCGTTGTTTTATAGCACAACAGTCAATATTCAAATTCAAATTCAAATTCAAGTGCATTACAGAAGTGATAGAATATAAAGAAAAAAAAAAGAATTTGCAAATCCCTTCAATAAAATTCTTAGAATTATCACCAAGAAAAAAACAAGTCATAACTAACATAACTTGATAATCATGAAATTTAGAGTGCTCAGCCATATGTTATGTGGCACTAGAGTCAATAATAATAGTAAAAAGAAGAACAAATAGTTAGCAAAACACCATTAGTATTCTGTTCAAAATAAAATAGGAGGGGATGAGTCATTGTCAGCAGTATATATGTGCTATTGTTGCCCATTAGAACTAGTAGCAATATAAGCTTAAAGAAATTGTTATAGACAAAGAATAACATAAAAAACTAAATGAGTATGATTTGGATGTTGCCAACAAAATTGGGAAATACATCTGGAATGATGAGAAAACCCACAAGATTGATAATAAAACTAGCTATATGACCAAATTGACCACAATTATAACAACCACTATTGGAATAATCATAAGAACAAGACCATTTATTTGAAACATGAGCACCAATAGATAGTGACCAAGAGTAAAGTGCTAGAGTAAAAGTGTTGGAGAAAGTATACTAAAAAAGACAACAATTTTAGAACATTAAAAGTACATTAATCATTCATTATATAATAGTAGAATATTCTAAAGGAAAAGTGTCCAACCTCTAGGGTAAAAGTAATGCTTGTTTGCTCAAAAAGATCCTTAAAACATCAAATATATTAGCCAAATGGTTTTGCTTTGGTGGCAACATTTGGTCTTCTATAGATGGTACCCTCAATGCAGCTAAATCAGAAAAAGCTTTGGTGATGTTAATCAATAGAAATATAATGCAAGGTTAATTTTGTCACATAGGTAAAGTATCTAGAAGAAAATTTAATGAAAAATATTGTTAATTAGTAATGTTTTACATTTGATTTTAAAGCCAAACACAAGCTAAAAGACTTTGCTCTATTCATGTAAAGGGGATTGAGAAGTTGTCTATGAATCTTAATTTCTACATCAACTATAAAAATTGTGAAAGATTTTTTTTTACCATTGGTAAGTCTTTTTATTCTTCTTTGTGATAATTCAGTAAATTTCCACTTGATTACAAGGGTTCCAGACGGTCATTTACTTTCTTGGTGCTATCTCTCTTGTTTAAGTTCTACACACTCCATAAAAAAAATGGGAGTAGTCAAGAGACACAATCAATTGCTCTGGCTACCACCAATGGATAAGCCTATGCAGATGTGGGGCTTACAGCTTGTTGGCTCCCCCATCACTTGTTGAGTTGCTGATCACTCTCCATGCACTAGCTTGCTGGTAGGTGGAATTGGCGAGCTAGATGTCGATGCCAGTTGTCGTAGAGAGGACACTGGCGAGGGAAGAACGCAGAGACCATCTGTAGAATTCATTGACAAAGCTGTACACTTCGGGGCATGCAAAACCCTCCCTGCTGTGGCAGGAAGACCATATTCTTGCTTGTGAGAGTGGTGAAGCTAATTGCAGAAGCTACTGCTATTTGCATTCTCTGCCTGAGCCATGATATTTCTTACCACACATACAAACTCAAGAAAACTAGGATCACCGTGAGATGGAACACGTCATATGCTTGTCAATTGGACAAAAATCTTCAAAAAGTACCAACAAAAAAAAAAGCAATAAACCATTTGACAAACCTTGAGAATGTCTGGATCAACCGAGTTGGGACCAGAGAATGAAAAGGGTGCCATGGAAGGAGCAGGTTTTCGGTTTCTCAAAGTTAGGATCTCTGCCAGACACAAAACTAAGAAACAGAAAGAAAGGAAGAAAATAACGCTTTTACCTTGTAGATTTGATATATGAAAAAATGACTTGTCCAACTCTTTCATCAACATGAACTGAAGAAAGAATCTCATTTCCGGGATCTTCAGTGCCAGCTCCACCAGCTCGAGAAACTTCGCGTAATGGAACCTGTGGCCCTCTCAAGCATGCCACAATCTTTCCCCGGACTTCTTTGGGATCCAAAGACCCGCTCATACACATTTGCCTGCATCATTAATAATTTCAAATGAACTCAAATCAAAGATTAATTATTTTACCTGGCTGAAAAGTTGGAAGTTGGCAAGCCAACATCGGCTCCCGCAGCAAGATGATACCACCGCTTTTTTAATCTTTGCTCCGTCATGCTAAAGCCCCGAAATGATTTATTGTTGCCAAGGTAAAGGTCTCCAAAATAGGATCGATCAAGAGTGCTCGCCCCAACAGTGATGACCCAAGGAGCTACATTTTGCACAGAGCCAGGCCCTTCACGTTCCTGCCCGTTTCCAGCGGCAGCCACCACCACAATGCCTTTCTGCATGGCATGGAACGCTCCAATGGACGTAGAATCAAGGAAGTAATCACCTGCTGGACCACCGAAAGATGCAGAAATGATATCCACGCCATCGTGGATTCCCATATCAAATGCGCTGAGAATGTGAGAATCCGGGCACCTTACGATGTTTCTCCAGCATATCTTGTAGATTGCGAGACGTGAGTCCGGAGCTCCACCTTTTGCAGTGCCTTTCGCATAGCCAAACCAGTTTGCGTTTCTCATAAATCGGCCTCCAGGAGTGGAAGCCACGTGAGTTCCATGGCCTTGAACATCTCTTGGAGAAAGAACTTCTTGGTGTGCTTTCGCATAAGCCTCGGGACCATCTTGCAGGCCGTGGGTAAAGAATCTGGCACCTATAAGTTTCCTGAAAGATCAAATGTTGAAAAAATTTAAATTCACTTAGAGTGTTATTTTTACTTTCTGCAGTGAGAAGCGTTGAATTGCTCCCCAGTTTCGCAAGCTCCTTTCATCTTTCGGGGATTGGTCCCATGCCATGATCCGAAAAGCTTTCCGACTCTGGCCATACTCCTGGAGAAGACCAGTAAAAAGAAGAAAATGATGGAAAAAGGAAATACCTGAATCCAAAACACCGATGATAATGTCTTTGCCAAATTTTGCTTTTCTCGTCCCTGGAAATACGCAAGGGCTTATAAACTAGAAGTTACGCTACATAAGAAATGATATACACCTGAGCGATGGAGATGGCACTTGAACTTAAAAGGACGAATATAAAGATTGAGAGCGCCATGAACTTGATGACTTGTGTTTGAGATTTGTAGGTAAGAAGACTGAGGCGCGGAATGTGTCCGTGTGACGACTAATTTAGGAGAGTTCGTCCATGACCCGTGATGCTAAATTTAAGAAGCAAGAAACATTCATACAACGAATGTTCGCTGCAGTGAAGCTGCAACATTGAGCTATGAACATTGTAAACTTGACGATTTTCTTCTTTTACCTTGTTGGCCTCACCAGCTTTGACCACAAACTCTTTTATGAGCTAGCTTTCCTCTTGAATGCGTTGCTGAAGGAGCCTCAGCTCCGTCTGTCCATTCGTGTACACCTTCCTCATCTCAGCATACGCATTCCGAGTATCAGAAGGAAGCCTTTGCACTGAAGCCGCTCCTAAACTTCCCATCGAAGTAGCTGCTAGCAAAGCTTCGCGCCTGGGACCTGTGAACGTCTCTTGGGGACCCCGGAGAAACGCCTCCACCTCGGGATGACCCGGAACCGTTGCCAAAGGTTGACACCACCTGTGTGGATCCGGCTTCTGCAGCTTCGAGAGCTCGTTGATCCTCTCCTGGGCTATGTCGCAAAGAGCACACTTCCCTTTGATTGATACCAGATGCCTCTTTACTTTTTGCCACAAAGTCCTTGAGCTTCTGGCTCTTGAGCTTGAGTATGAAGCTCTCCAGCATTGTGGCGTCGTCCAGCCATAAAAACACGTTCATCACGTTGCTTGCGAGCTCTGCCACCTTCAGGTCTCTGGTTGTGACCACCCCGCAAAGCTTCGGATAGAGTTAAGTATCGTTCTTCCAACGGACGTGTTGAGCAGCGTCTTGCTTCCAGAGGTTGATGAGCAGCTTGCAAAGATCTCCCGTTCCAGCTTTCTATTCGACGAAGGATGGAACTTGATCGTGCCGAAGAGCATCTCGGCTATCGAGATTACGGCAGAAGAACACGAACTGGTCTAGCTCCGGGGGGCATCCCATCCCAGAAACTTGGGGGCTTGAGCAACCACCTTTGCAACCTTAACGGACTTGATCCCTTCAAAAGATATCTCGTGTAGTGATTGTGGGAGCTTCTTTCCTGTCCCAGCACCTCGATCAGCCGATAAACTTAGTTGGAATCACCCGAGTCAAGGCAAAGCTTGATCAAGCGGCAAATGTTTCCGTTCCTCCTGTAGTGATCGTAGGAGCTCCTATCCGCAATCTAGTACTTAACTAGATATATGAGGCAAGCCGAGAAGTCCGAAGCTCCCTCCACTCCACCATGTCCAGAGCTCCTTCAAGTCCTGCCTGGCAAACGAGCTCGATGCTCTTGCGTTTCTGCCAAAACACCACTGCAGCACTGTAGTACCGGTACGTTTCCTAGCAGCTCCACCACCAGCCTGTCTTGACCTTTAAGTCCAGAGAAGCAAAGATTTGTCTCCGTGTACTTGTGCTCGAAACAAAAGACCAATTTCTCTGACGACGAAGCGATATTGGAAGCGCTACCTCGCCGATTCCTTGCACACCATCGATGCTCCGTCCACACGCAAAGATCCCTGCCCCAGATCGACCATCTGGGGCCGTAGAACCCTAAATTCTTTCTTTCTTCCTGTTCTCTTTGCCATTAATATCACTTGACCGAATATGCTTTTGTGGGTGATAATGGAGAACATAAAAAATGGCGTGTGTTAAAAGGGTGTAGTTCACATGGTAGAGCAATTGCTTCGCATGCGATAGGTAAGGGGATCAATATTGCCCCAAGATTATACTGAAATGATTAAGCTCCAATGGATGTTCGTTGAGAGTTGGAGCCCTTGGCATCCATGGTCTGGAAATTGATTGGCTTTTGCATGAGCCTTCGAGGCAAAAAATCTACCAGAACACCAACACGCATTGCTATGTTTCGAAATTTTATTCCATCCCAAAAATTGCTTAAGATCTGCTTGGGTAAACTGCAATGGGGCTAGTGACCGTATACTTTCCGTTGCTCCATATCAGCTTCCCGAAAACAGCCTTATCAATGTTTGAGTCGTCCTCCACTCTAAATATCACCTGGAATGTTTTCGGCTCGCCCTTGTGCTTGAACTGCAGCACCGGTGGATGAACCGACACCGACACACTCTCCGGTGCCTCGATAGATGCCGTGTAGTTCGTCACATCATCGTCCACGTTCGTCACTCGCCTCTGCACGACTTTGCTGCGGCGCAAATCGGAGATGGCAATGGATGGATAGTTGAGGTCTGTGGGGTTGTCGGGACACTTGGCGGAAGTTTGCGTGAGGATCTGAAGTTCAGTCTGGTTGTATCCCAGACCGCAGAGATATCCAATGTAGTCTTGCTCGTCGGCGTCATATACTAGGCCAGGGTGTGCAGCAGCATTTGGATTTACATGCCCTCCACCAAAATCAAAGGGTGATGCAGGAGCTCGTGATGAATTCTTGATTGGTTCTCCAAGATTATCGAATGCGTAACCTGTTTTGTTTTGAAGTGTCAGTAACAAACAAAGATGTAGCACTTAGTTACCTGTTGTTACTATGGCTGATTTGATTGCTGCTGGACTCCAGGCTGGACGATAGGATTTTAGTAGGGCGACAATCCCAGTGACGTGAGGGCAAGACATGGAGGTTCCAGATGAAAATTGGTATGGTACTTCTGAGTTGTTGAATTGTGTGTATGCTGCTAGAATTTTTACTCCTGGAGCTGTAATATCGGGCTGAAAGAACAAAAATCTTTAAAAACTACCAAAACAAATAGACAGAAAGCATTGACAAACCTTGAGAATGTCTGGATCAATGAAGTTGGGACCAGAGGATGAAGTAGGTGCCATGAAAGGAGCAGGCTTTTGATTTCTCAATGATATCTGATGCTGTATATCCGCTACAGGATTTCTGCCAGGCTCACAAAGGTAAGAAACAGAAAGAAGAACAAAGATTTTACCTTGTAGATTTGACATATGAAAAGATGGCTTGTCCAACTTCTTCATCGACATGAACTGAGGGAAGAAATTCATTTCTAGGATTTTGATCGACTTGAGTGGAGTTGCAAATGATAATCCCAGCTCCGCCAGCTCGAGAAACTTCCAATGATTGGAATCCTGGATGCATCGGCCCTCTCAAGCATGCCACAATCTTTCCCCGGACTTTCTTGGGATCCAAAGACTGGCTCATACACAATTGCCTGCAGCATTAATATTTCTTTAACTCACATCTATAGATTTGATATTTTACCTGGCTGAAAAGTTGGAAGTTGGCAAGCCAACATCGGCTCCCGCAGCAAGATGATACCACCGCTTTTTTAATCTTTGCTCCGTCATACTTAAACCCCGAAATGATTTATTGTTGCCAAGGTAAAGGTCTCCAAAATAGGATCGATCAAGAGTGCTCGCTCCAACAGTGATGACCCAAGGAGCTACATTTTTCACAGAGCCAGGACCCTCAGTTTGCTGCTCGTTTCCAGCAGAAGCTATCACCACAATGCCTTTCTGCATGGCATGGAACGCTCTAATGGACGTAGAATCAAGGAAGTAATCACGCACTGGACCCCCAAAAGATGCAGAAATGATATCCACGCCATCGTGGATTCCCATATCAAATGCGCTGAGAACGTGAGAATCCGGGCACCTTGCACTGCCGTCCGTGATGTTTCTCCAGCATATCTTATAGATCGCGAGGCGTGAGTCTGGAGCGCCACCTTTTGCAGTGCCTTTTGCGTAGCCAAGCCAGTTTGCGTTTCTCACGAATCGGCCTCCGGCAGTGGAAGCCGTGTGAGTTCCGTGGCCGTGAACATCTCTCGGAGAAAGAACTTCTTGGTGTGCTTTTGCATAAGCCTCAGGACCATCCTGTAGGCCGTGGGAAAAGAATCTTGCACCAATAAGTTTCCTGAAAGATCATAAGTTGAAAAACTTTAAATTCACTTGAGTGTTGTTTTTACTTGTTGCAGTGAGAAGCGTTGAATTGCTCCCCAGTTTCGCAAGCTCCTTTCCATCTTTCGGGGATTGGTCCCATGCCATGTTCCGAAAAGCTTTCCGACTCTGGCCATACTCCTGGGAAAACCAACATTAGTCCAAGCCCTCTCCCATGCTAGCAAAGTTGGCGGACCTTCTCCTGCCCACCTGAAAACAAAAAGAAAGAGAGAAATACCTGAATCCAAAACACCAATGATAACGTCCTTGCCGAATTTTGATTTCTTCCATAACCACGATGATTCAGTAGCTTCACTAGCACCAAACAAGGATTTCTCTCCGCTTCCATAGAGTCCCAGAAATTCCCATGAGTTTGTGGTGTGGACCGTGTGGATTTCATTGCGAAAGACGGACAAGACGTTTGGGAGGCCTGCAATATGGATAAAGACTGACTTAGATTATGTATAATGTTTCTATGATGCGTTACCAGAGAGTTTAGAAGCTTGTTCTTCTGTCAAACGAGCCGAGAAGCCACTAAATCCATGCCTGTAGCTAAAACCGATTGATTCTCTGGCAGCTTTGACACTGGAATACACGAATTTGGATGAATTCATAATTTTTTTCTTCTGGAGTTTTACCTTCCTAGAACATCCCCAAGGAGTGCGTGATGGGAGCTTGTAACAGCGTCTGGATGGAGGGATTTATCGACATTCCCCAAATAGACAATGTGAGTGTCTCCTTGATCTCGTCCCTGGAAATAAAATCAAACTATGGGCTTTAAAAGATTGTCTCGTGCGAGATAAGAAAGGTAAAGACCTGAGAGATGGAGATGGCACTTAAACTTAGAAGAAAGTATAAACAGATTGAGAGCGCCATGAACTCGAAGAATTGTATTTGAGAATTGCAGGAAGAAGATGTAATCATTTATATTGGAAACTGCGGAAAATTTCCTGTGACGCGCATCTCAGGCCGCCTTGTTTGACTGGGCTAGTGATGTTAAGTATATCACGAGTTTACAAATTATAGCTCATTGGAATACGACTTATTCAGGAGAATTTGTCGTTGTTAAATTATATCACAAGAATTTAGCATCACTAGCTGACAGATTATAGTAGTTCTTTCTCAGCTTGATTGATTTCCAAGGACAAGGAGGAAACACTCATGGGGAGTGTTCTTCATCCAGACGCTGTTAATACTGGTTTGCATCACGTACTTCTAGCAGGCATTCTAGGAAAGATGGGTCTAGAATATTTAAAATTAAAATTATTGTTATATTGTATATTCTTTTTAAAGTTTTTCCTTCAGTTCATGAAGTAGAATGAATGCTTAGAGTGCATGTTGGGGATGAAAAAACATCATGGACATAAAATTTGGCAACATCTTTCTAAGGTTTGGAGAGAGCCTCAATTTAACTGAGAGGAGTCCTGTGAAGATTCATGTTTAAGCAGACCCCCCAACTTCTGTGACCATCGGAGAAAGTGAGTTGTCTCTCCCTTATTTCAATCTTCGCACCTAACAGTGCTGCATCACCGAACGGTAAATGTGTTTTGATGCTAGTTTATCAACATTTGCGTTTGTCAATCCTTTTTACGAAGTTTTTGGCCACCATACCTACCACTGAAATAACAGGTCCACGTCGATATCATATCGCATTGGTATTCGCACCGGTATATACTACTCGAGGCTTGGATAGCAGCAAAGTAAAAAAGATATGGGGAGCGATGCCAAGGATCTCGTCAAGCACACCAAGCTCTTCATCGATGGGCGATTCGTGGACGCTGTCTCAGGTTGTGATCTTTGCTTTTCTTGTGCTTTTGTGGTGAGAGTGAAATGGTTTTGTCGATCTTTCGCAGGCAAGACGTTCCCCACTTTCAATCCCAGCAACTCGGAATGTATTGCTCAAGTCGCCGAGGGAGACGCGGCGGATGTGGATCTGGCCGTGAGAGCCGCGCGAGAAGCATTTGACCACGGGCCCTGGCCACGCCTTGGTGCTGCTGTGAGTTCTTCCGTCTTCCTTCTTCCTTCTTATTTATCTTTTGTTCATGCTCGTTTGGTAGGAAAGAGGAAGGATACTTTACAAGTTCGCGGATGTGATCGAGGAACATCTCGACGAACTGGCAACTCTTGAGACCCTCAACAACGGAATGTTGATCGATCTAAGCAAAGCGGATAATTGCGGGTTCGGTTGCCTCTCTGCGATACAATGCAGGTACTACAAACATATTTTCAATATCGAAACACTGCTGAACCAGTGGAGTGGCTTTTTTTTTCTCAGGCTGGGCTGACAAGCTCAATGGAAAGACCTTGCGAACAGATTCTACTCGGATGTGCTACACCCTTTTGGAGCCAATTGGTGTGGTTGGAGCGATTGTTCCGTGGAACTTCCCGGCTCATATGTTTCTCAACAAAGTCGGGTCTGCGTTAACTTGTGGAAATACGATCGTTGTCAAGGTTGCCGAGCAGACACCTTTGACAGGACTGCTCCTGGCGAGTCTTTCTCAAGAGGTAAGAAAGACTTGCACTACAAAAAGTCATTTTTTCTTCACGAATATAGGCAGGGATTCCCGCGGGAGTCCTCAATGTTATTCCTGGTTATGGTCCCACTGCAGGAGCCGCGATTTCGAAGCATATGAGCGTGGATAAGGTAAGAAAGCTTGCAATTGAAAAGAAAAGTTGAAAAGAAAAGTTCTTTTTTTCCTCAGGTCACATTTACTGGTTCCACTGAAGTTGGAAGAATGATAATGGAGAGTGCTGCGAGAAGCAACTTAAAGCCCGTCACACTGGAGCTTGGTGGCAAATCTCCGTTTATAATCTGCGAGGATGCCGACTTGGACTCGGCTGTGGCCGTTTCTCAAAATGCCATTTTCATGCATCAGGTGAAATTTTCAGGATGGGAACTTGTTTGGAAATGATGACATGTGTTTCAGGGACAAGTCTGTGTTGCTGCATCGCGAGTCTTTGTTCACGAAAGTATTCATGACGAGTTTATCAAGAGGTCTGTCAAGCTGGCAAGCGAACGTGTAATTGGAGATCCTTTCCAATCCGGAGTCCAAAATGGTCCCCAAGTAAGAAAATATCTTCTCTTCATCTTTCGGATACTAGTCACGAGCTGTTTTATCAGATCAACCAGGAGCAGCTGGACAAAGTTTTGAGCTACATTGAGTCGGGAAAAAAAGAAGGTGCCAGCCTTCTAGTGGGAGGCAAACGCATCGGCGAGAAAGGATTTTACATCCAGCCAACAATTTTTGGAGACGTCAAGGTTTGCTGTGTTAAGATTCTCTTACTCTTTTCTCAAAACATCCAGGACATTTGTGTAGCAATCCATGAAGATTGCCAACGAGGAAATATTTGGTCCCGTGCTTTCAGTGCTCAAGTTCAAGTAAGAAGACTTCGTTTATACCTTGGTTTATCTGATGGTCATTACTTCACTGAGTCAGGACTCTTGACGAAGCCGTGGAGCTTGCAAACAGCACACACTACGGTCTAGCAGCGGCGGTCTTCAGCAAAAACATTGACACAGTCAATCTTCTGACCAGGTCGATCAAATCGGGCGTTGTCTACGTGAATTGCTACCTGAGAGCAGGACCAGCAGTACCGTTTGGAGGCTACAAGATGAGTGGAATCGGTCGAGAGAATGGATACGAAGGGTTGCTTCCATATCTCCAGCACAAGTCCATTCTCATGCCTATAGAAAACTCTCCTTGGAATTGATTCTTTCGTTTTTCTTGTTTCACTTGTCTGATACCGTCTTTTACGAGATTTGGCACTGCTTGTTCACCCAACAATCGATTAAGGTAAGTTACTAGTTCAGGCTTCCTTGTTTCTTTTTGCTGATTCTCAATGAGTTTTCCAGAGGCAATGCATAGCTTTGATAACAGGAAATGGTTCCATGTCGTGTATAATCACGTAAAGTTTTTTTATTCTGTTCTCAACGAGGAGCTTTGCAACCTCGATGGCACACGGGGATCTTCTTTGTCAAGTCCAACAGGATCACTGCTCTTCACAACAAGTTCCTAAGTGTCAACAGTGACAAGAAGTAAGCATGTTTTATTCTGGTTTACAGTGATCTCGGAACAACATCTTTTTCTTTTTTTTCTTTGCAAATTGAAGCGTCTAAGATCCGGGAGTGAAGTTGGTTGCATACGCCCAGGCATTGTTGACGGTGGGGTTGTCAAGGTGGTCGAGCAAGTTCTCGATGGGTCCCTTGCCTGTAACAATGGCCTGAGTGAAGAAACCAAACATGGAGAACATCGCCAGTCTGCCGTTCTTCAACTCCTTCACCTTGAGCTCAGCGAAAGTATCCGGGTCGTCAGCGAGTCCGAGCGGATCAAACGCACCTCCGGGGTAGATCTTGTCCAGTCCCTCGCCGAGCGGTCCACCTCCAACTCTGTAGCCTTCGACGGCTCCCATGAGGATAACTTGGCTGGCCCAGATGGCAAGGATGCTCTGTGCGTGGACGAGGTTGGGATTTCCCAGGTAGTCGAGGCCACCTTCCTTGAAGATCTGCGAGCCGGCCTTGAACCACACAGCCTCGCCAAACTTGATGCCGTTCTTGGCGAGAAGCTCGGGGGTGACGCAGCCGAGAGCTCCGAGCATGGCCCAGCGGGAGTGGATGACTTCGAGCTCCCGGTTTTTGGCGAACGTCTCGGGGTCGGCCGAGAGACCCGCGGTATCCCAGCCGTAGTCGCCAGGAAACTCGCCGGTGAGGTAGGAGGGTGTCTGCTCGGAGAAGGGGCCGAGGAACTTTGGTCGGTCTGGACCATACCTGTGGATACAACAAAGTTAGCGACTATGATCTTTCAAGAGCTCGAAGGAAATGGTGTGGAGACAACCAAGTCAGCGACTGTGAGCTTTGAAGAGCTCGAAGGAAATGGTGTGGAGATAACAAAGTTAGCGACTATGAACTTTCAAGAGCTCGAAGGAAATGGTATGGAGACAACAAAGCTATATCTTTCAAGAACGCGGAGGAAATGGTGTGAAGATCAGCGACTATGATCTTTTAAGAAATGGAGCTCCGCGATCAAGGTATTGCTACTTTCTTCTACACGAAACAGGGAATGCAGGTTGCTGGAGAGGGAGATCTCGACTTACCAAATGCTATCGGGAGTGCTGGCCCTGGTTCGCCTCATCACGGTGCGTGCCTCTCCCAGATTTCCGACCTTCCTGGAGAGCTCATTGGGGCTCTTGAGCGCAGTCTGGCCGGAGAAGGAGGAGCTGCTGATCGCCGAAGCCGACGCCGCCATATCTAAGGTTAAGACGAAGAAAGGAAGACGAAGAATAGAGCAAGCACAGCGAGGGCGATGGAGGCTGAGCGTTTGCGACGGGGATATATACCAGCCAGGAGATTTGCCAGCGTGTAGAGAGCAAATCTCGAGAGGCCACTGAGGATGTGCCACGTAGTGTTGTGGTATCCTCAGTTTGTGGCTAGCAAAGCACGAAAGGTGTACGGTCGAAAGTTTTGATAAATGTTAAACGCGAACTAAGCACAATTATCCAGTTATACTTAAGGAATATCCTTACTCAGGTCAATGGATCCTCTTAATTGTTCTTTTGGGATCGCTGTTTAGCTATGGTGAGCAGCACCCTTGCTCCGGCATTAACTTTGACAATGCCATTGATAGTTTGGCTGAAATTCGTGTTTCTCCTACCATCCAAGGTCAGCTAAGAAAATTACTTGTGATCATGTCGTCCTTTGCACAGTTCCAGAATGTTGCAAATGTCAAGGTCTCCTTCAAAAATCTCGATGCCTCTGCCCATGGTCACGATTCTGATTGGATTGGGGTCTTCTCTCCAGCCAGTTTCAGGTAATTTAAAACAGATCTCTTCAGATGACTGTTGCCTGGACGAGTGGATATGGAACGCACGAAGCCAAGCCTTTTGTTCTTTGGGGATTACTTGAATCGGACGAAACTTGGGCCTCTCCAGGAGTTACACAAACTTATAGTCGTGGAGACATGTGTGGTAAATTTCAAGTGTAAAACATGTTCTTCTTGGTCGTGAGCTTACATTGAAAAAAACTGTGATATTTTGTTGTACTGCAAGGACTATAGGGTGGCGAGATCCCTTTGTTTGAGGCAGAGATTTAGCTACGTCCATACCCGCCAGAAGAGTCCTTACAAAGAATAGTAGTTTTCGGAGATCTTGAAAAGGTGTTTTCGGAGAAAATGCTTACAAAGTTTGTTCTAATGTATGCACCAACGGTTCTTTCAGAAAGAGCGAGATGGATCGAATCAATACAATAGCTACAGCCACGGTGCTCTACAAACATTTTCTCGACCAAAAACGATAAATACCCATGGGAGATTCCTAACTTACCAGTATTTAGATGGATTATTCAGTGGTATCTTGAAACTTGTCTGGAGAGGAACTCCACCAGAGTTATTTTTTGAATAGAAACCACTGTTTGGCCAGTCTTCTTCGTGGTTTCCACTGTTCAATCAGTTCTAACACTATGAACGCAGTAGACTATGGGATGTTTAAGTTCCGATTCCGAGATCGACTGGAGAGAAGGCTCCGAGCAGTACAAGTTTCTTAGAGGCAAGTAACGGCAGTGGCTCTATCAGCTTGGAGCTTAGAGACGGGAGAGCTTGCAACAGCTGTGAATTAAGATAAAAAAGACTATAATTGAGAAATAGACCAAATCTAAAAGAACAACCTTGGGAGTCAAACTAGCAGTAGTAGTATATTACAGGAAAGGTATATCAAAGAAAGCTTTTTATATCAATCACGGCAGTACTAGTAGTAGTGCTAGAAGCAGTCTGGTAGCCATGGCTTACGCCCTTTCTCCACGAATGCGGCGAGCCAACTGGATGTCCTTGGGCATGATGGTCACCCTCTTGGCATGGATCGCGCACAGATTCGTGTCCTCGAAAAGACCCACCAAGTATGCCTCCGCTGCCTCCTGGAGCGCGAGCACGGCATGGCTCTGGAACCTCAGATCGGTCTGGAAACGGAAGGACGAAAAGCCCCAAATCAGCAAAGGAATCGAAGGTGGTTCCCATGGATTACCTTGAAGTCCTGCGCAATCTCACGAACAAGCCTCTGGAATGGCAGCTTGCGGATGAGCAGCTCAGTGCTCTTCTGGTACTTGCGAATTTCACTGCAAAGGATCACGAAGCAGACGTTTGGTGTTCCAGAATTTCTCTCATATCGATTCGTGTTCTTACCGGAGAGCGACTGTTCCTGGGCGGTAGCGGTGGGGCTTCTTCACTCCTCCAGTGGTGGGAGCCGATTTCCTGGCAGCCTATCGCCAAAGGGATTCTAAGAACCGATCTAGACCAAAATCTGAGAGAAATTTCTGGCGCTTACCTTGGTTGCGAGCTGCTTCCTGGGCGCCTTTCCTCCCGTGGACTTGCGAGCGGTCTGCTTGGTACGCGCCATTGAGAAATCGCAAAGCTGAAGACGAAGCGCAAGGGTTTGCCCCGCTCTAAAAACCCTAAAATGGAAGAACAATGGAGCGCATGACTCTTAAATAGTAACGACCGAGATGCAACGCACGGCTGGGATGCGTTTGAGAAAGCACAATCCGCGTCGGTGTACCTCGGCAACGCTGATTGGCCGGCTGCATGGACTGCTGACGTGGACGAAACACCAAAGCCCTAAACCACGAATTTAGGGTTTATGGCGCGGACAGGGAAGAAGCGAAGGCCGGCGGCGGTCAGGCGAAATGTGGCGGCTCCATCGGCCCCGCCCGCCCCCGTTCCAAAGGTGAGCGATTGAGATGGCGAGATTGGATTGAGATAGCATCCCAGGTATGGCGTCCTGGAGTTGATACGCTGGAAAAGGACGAGGAATTGCAATTCGATCCATCTACTTATGACTGCCTTCACGCATTTCACTTGGGATGGCCGTGTTTGAGGTATTCTTTGAAATTCTCTTCGTTGAAAGAGCTTTTTCTCCATTTCCATTGTGTGCTTTAATTTTTATATTTCAGCTTTGACATCGTGAGAGATACACTGGGAGCTTTGCGACATGAATTTCCTCACACGATGTTTTGCGTGGCCGGAACACAGGTTGTTCTTTTTTTCATTTCGGATCAAAGCTCTAAAAGCTAGCGTTTTTACGTGTAACTGGCAGGCAGATGCGTCGACCAGCAACACAATTGCCATCGTGAAGCTGTCCAACTTGACTGGAAAGAAACGATCGCCCAACGCTGTTTCCAACGACGAGAGTGGAAGCGAGAGTGACGATAGCGAGGATGAACAAGACCAAGAAACGCCAACGCCCGCACCAGACGAGTCGAGTAAAATTCCTAAGCTGGAGGTAATTCTCTCTTCTCTCTTCTCTCTTTTTTGTGGAATTCAGTTTTTCTTATGTTTTTCTTTAGGAACGAATGGTGCCTCACCAGGGGTGTGTGAATCGCATCCGATCCATGCCACAACAACCTCATATTGTTGCATCATGGTCTGCTGAAGGCTTTGTCCAGGTTTGAGTTTTTGGTTTTCAACAATAGTTCTCTACGTGTGTGTGATGTTTTTCTTCCTTCAGATGTGGGACTTTTCGTCCCAACTTAATGCTGTAGCTACAAACAATGACGCTGGAAGCAGCAAACGTACCTCCCATCCTCCTCTTCAAATATGTAAAGCGCATAAAGATGAAGGTTTTGCCATGGATTGGAGCCCGATGACTCCCGGACGTTTCCTTTCTGGTAACCTGTCTCGGACTCGTGCTAGGCTATGTGCTAAGTTAAGGTTTCCATACAAGGGGATTGCAAGGGAGTGATCCATTTCTGGGAGCCGATGCCTGGGGGAAGATGGAACGTGGGGAACGCGCATTGCCTTGGACATAGTCGCAGTGTGGAGGACTTACAGGTTGTATTATTTTCACTTCATATCTGTTCTAACTCAGTGTGCTTGATCAGTGGAGTCCTTCAGAGGAAAATGTGTTTGCTTCTTGCTCAGTGGACAAAACCATTGGTATTTGGGATTTACGATCTCGAAGAAAAGAGCTGTCTGTAAAAGCTCATGACACAGACGTTAACGTCATCTCCTGGAACAAAAACAAGTGCAATTTTCTACTTCTTTTTCGTTTATCTAACTAGTCTGTTCTCAGGTCGGCATCCTGCCTACTAGCATCAGGAAGTGACAATGGCGTCTTCCGCGTGTGGGATCTCCGGGCGTTCAAAGTAAGTACATACCCCTTTTGATACTTTTCTGCTAATCTTGCACAACCTCTTCGGTTTCAGGAAGATTCCGCCGTGGCGCACTTCACGCACCATAGTTCGTATATCACGTCGATCGAATGGAGCCCCCACGAAGAGTCCACTCTGGCTGTTGCCTCTGCGGACAACCAGCTAACGTAAGCCTCTAGTTTCGTCAACGCGCAAGAACTAAAGTGTCACTTGTGTAGTATCTGGGACGTAGCGCTGGAGCGTGATACCGAGGAAGAGGCTCAATACCAAATGGAGCTGGGACAGGAGCAAGCGGCGGCTCCAGAGAACTTGCCGGCCCAACTGCTTTTCGTTCACCAGGCAAGCTGGGAGCTTTTGGGCTCCATTTTCTGACACTCGCTGCAGGGACAGAAGGATATGAAGGAAGTGCACTGGCATCCTCAAATTCACGGGCTTTTGGTTTCTACCGCTGGCGATGGCTTTAACGTGTTCCGGCCTTGCAACTTGTAGATCCATCAGCTAGGCCTTTGTCTTTTGGTTAGGGTCGTGTGAGCATTTACATGCAGACGAGCTTCCAAAACTTACGCTGTGCTTACTCGTTTTCACAACATAGCTTTCTCTATGCTATTGAAGTCCTTGGAAATGGATATAAAATTCCCGGACCTGGAATCGATTTCTCTGTGGTTTGTCTTCGATGGCTGGATCTTTGTATCAGTTTGGTTGGCGTGGCTAGCTCTCAGGTTTGATCGATTCTTTGCAACCATTCACCTTGTTTCTTAGAGTTGTTTTCCAGGGAGGAGACACGCACATCATTTACTTTAGACATATTGACATCGTACCAATTCACACTACGCTGTTTTGGAGAACGTTCTTCTAGAATTCAAAATTTCATTTGTTCCTGAATCAGTTCTCAAGCTGCTCTGGGTTTTAGCTACAAGCATGGATTTCGTGGCTTCTCACCTCGTCTTACAGAAGAAGCAGCTGCTAAGATTTATCGTATTCAGTATTTATATTTATCTTTTCAACTAAAATCTTTTCTTTCTGCAGGTGTGCTTTCTGTCTTTTCCCAATCTAAATTATGAGCTACATACAACAAAATTTCTCGGTCTCTATGGAAATGGAGACGAGTCCTTTTCCGGTATCAGTGAAACTAGCGAAACATAACTGCTGTCGATAAAGTATTCCAAAATTATCATCATTGGTGTTTTGGATTCAGGTAGGCATTGTTTATTTCTTGTGAACGTTTGACTTCGATTATAATCGAATTCCTATGCTTGCAGGTGTTTGGCCAGAATCATCGAGCTTTTCTGATCATGGCATGGGACCAGCTTGCGAAAGTGGAGAGGCCTCTCATTGTAACTGGTAAGCTTTTATAATATTTTATTTGCATTTCAGTGTAGCTTCTAATCCTGCTTCTAGATAATAACCTTTACTGCTACTACTTCTCTGCTACACTCAAAGTTTCCTGCTTGGCTTTCCTTTGCTGCTACTTCCTCCTTTTGGATCCTGAATGATCCTAATCCTGATCTTGCTGCTGTTATTTGCTGAAACTGTTACTGTTTTGAATACATGGAATCTTTATATGTTTGGTTTGCTTAATTATTCTTATTTATTAATCCAATTTTTCAAATCTATATTTTCTTAATTATGTCTTATTAGATATTTTGATAAAGTTTTGTCTCAGCAGTAGCTCTCCAACACAACTTGCATGCCCATTGGCTATTGTGAGAGAAGAGGTAATTTTTACATGTATTATGCATGCATCCCTCTAGCAACACAACTTGCATGCCCATTGGCTATTGTGAGAGAAGAGGTAATTTTTACATGTATTATGCATGCATCCCTCAAGCATAATACATCCCTCAATTTCAATTGTGTCGAGCTCAGGTATTACTCCATGGATTTTTTAACAAATTCATGAATTAAAAGCTTGAATTCAACCATGCAGATACGTTAGCTCTGTGAAGAGAGTGCTAAACAAAGCTAGTGATCACATGCATGTGTCAATATCCATAAGAACTTAAATTAGTGTTTGAATTACTGAGCATTGCTTGATAGTGGGATATTAAATAAGATTGCCAGTTGCAGCCAAAATAATGTTCAGTTTTTAAATGAGCTGGGGTGTGCTGCTATTGTGCTTGCTTTTCCTAATTGCCTCACATTTGGCTAAATTTGTGAATAACATCATGTTTTCTCAAAAGAACTTACTATGACACAATTGGGAGAAAAGTTCCCAAGCCTAAACAATGTGTGTATACTTTTGCTTTTCAACCCTTGGCTAAATTCCTTTTTGTGCTCCAACTTGAACTCAATGTTCAATTTGCAGCTTTAGGATGTGAACATACAATTGATTGAAAGTCATCTTACAGCATTGATCTGAAAGGATATTGGGGAAATGTTCACCCCTTATTGTGCAATGGCAAGTTGGTGGGAATTGTGAAGATCTAGGTTGTGAAGGTGTCCTAAAGATCCAGCAAGAGATTATTGATAATATATGAAAAACTTTGCCAACCATGCAGCTTATGTTTAGTAGAAGATTATAAGTATAAACATGTTTTAATTTATAAACACAATATTCATCTAGAACAAACTAAGATATACTAAAAAGTGTTTAAGAAAGATTATAAATTATAAGAAAAGATGAATATTAATCGTTTGATGGTAGAATATCCTAGAATACTCAAGTATATTCTTAATATCTAATCCCTTACAGGTTTGATTAAGTCAACTAAAAAGAAAAAATAAAATAACTAAAGGTATAGAATGTAAGTTATTTGCTAGCAAAACTAGGTTTTGCTAAAAACAAAAGCAAAACTTAAAAAATATAAGAATTTTTAAGGTGTAAATAAGTAGCATGTGAAAACAATTTATTAATTAAATAATTTTCAAAAATTAATTAATTTAGTTTAATATCAATTAATAAAACATTTTATTTAATTTCTTCTTACTAAAGTATTAAATTTAATATGAACTTAATTCAAAATATTTGTATTTACTAAAACAATATTTATTTAATACTCTTCAACTAATTCTTTGATTTTGATGATGGTTATAAATTTATAAGCTATATCACAATAATCACCAAGATTGAAGCATTTCTACTTAATTATTTATACATTTATTTTGGAATTGATGATTCTGCAAGTTTTGAGAAGTTAGTGTTTACTACATAATTCATTTATAGGAATTTAATTTTAGTTAAAATATTAAATAAAATCACTATTAAATAAATCATAAAATTTAAAGTAAAAGAATAATATTTACCTTAAAATATAATTCTTAAAGATCAAATCTTTCTTTCTTTCGTAGTAACAAAGAAATAAATTTAGAAATACTATATTTTATTGCATTATAGTCCACTAACAAAATATAATTAATTTTAAAACTTTTGTGATAATTTCAATATTTTTAAAAAAATATTTTTGGTTGGTGCAAAGAAGAAAGTGAAGTTTGTAGAAGGCACCAAGGAGGGATGTAAAGTATTTTCAAATGCACTCCTGTTCAATATTAATTTCATTTAGTCTCATTATACTATATTAAAAAAATAATTTAATACTTTTATATTAATGAGAACAAATATATAATTTTTTATATAATAGTTTTAGTCTATATCTAATTATAGATATTAATTTTTATCTATTTTTTAATTATCATTTTTCTTCTTTAATCTTTCCTTTCTTAACACTTAACTTTTTTCTCATTCAATAACATCTTATATTTTTTAAACTTTAATATATTTATAATAGTAGATTAATTAAGGGTTATATAATTTCCCATAGTAATAGTATAAATATCTAGCTTTCTTTGTTTTATTTATGTTACTTTTTTGAGCTTGTATTTTTTGAGTATTATGTGTTAGATAAGATCAACCTTGTTTTTGTCTTGTATAGAAATATTAATCTAGCAGTAATTATTTATATATAATAAATCTATAAACTGGTTGATTCCAATTCAATGTGTCAAATTCTTTATGTTCAATAGAATCTCCTAAGATGCTAAAATCATTTATAAACTTGGAGATATTTGGCTCTTAAGAGCACAGATATTGACAATTATTCTATGTTTTCACTGTCAATTGTCAGAATTAAAATGATTAATTCTGCTGCAAGATGTTCCCATGATTGCTTAGTTAGCAAAAGATTTTTAATCTTTGTCAGCATTGTTTTGCTTTCATGTTGAGTAACTCTTGCTTGCAGTCACGTAGAATCCTTCGCTCCCCTATTCTCAGCCGAGCAGCATGGAGCTCCTTGGTATGCTGTCTACACTCGCCAAGGGCTCGCTCTTCTTTACCAAAAGTGATACCATATAGCTCGTCTCGCTTGCCAATCACGAGTAACAACAGATCGATCACTGTGGAGTTGAGTAGCCACCGTTCCAATCTGCTTTCCACACTCTCTAACCTCGGCTTCTTGGTTGGATGAGGACCCCAATGAGTTTCTTTGCGCCACCCGAGAGCTTTGGCAGCCTTCTTCACCCTTCCTTTCACTTTGGCAGCAGCATCTTCGAGAGCCTCGCAATCCCGGGCCGGAGACTGGATCACAAACAGCAGCAGCAGCAGCTCGATCTGTGGCTTCCCAGCAGCGCTGATCTCAAAGTACTCACTGCCTTGGGATTCACAGCCGGAGAAACCAGCTTTTCTCCACACTCTTCCCCGCTTGCGGACGCGTTTCTTCTGGAAGCGGGAGAGAAGTACCTCGAGCAAGCAGTCCATGTCCAAGTTCACTATGTCGTGAGGATTGTTTGGCTCTGTGAATCCATATCTGTGAAGCAGCGCGGCATTGCCCAACTGTCCATAGGTGTTGAAAATCTGGAGAGACAAAACAAGTCAGAACAAAAGCTTTTTCTTTTTTGCACTTACTTCCGAGCCTGCTGCTACGTCTTTCACCATCACCATTTCCAGCACGCTTTTATCGCTAGAGATTTCACGACAGTCACCGTTTGCCAATCCATCGTCAATGATCAAACCATTGTTGTCGTCGTCGTCATCACTGTCACTGGCGTTCAGCATGAAATGCACGTCTTCAGCATCGGTCTTATGATTGAAGCTGGAAGAAAAAGAAAATCCAGCGTTAGGAGATCAACAAGAGAAATGGAAAGAGAGAAACATATAAACCAACTTACACTTACAGATCCGCTAGAGGCACCATGCCATAGCCATGCTCGGCATCGATCTCGAAAGAGCGAGAAGAAACCAGGGATTTTGCTGCAAGGTAGGATTCGAACGTAAAATCCTGTGCTGGAAACTCGAGAGGATCCTCTTTGGTTAGCGGAGCTATGTTTTCTTCCCAGTCTTCCTTCATGAGAAGCTTATCTTCTTTCAATGCCTGTGAAAGAAAAACAAAGGAGCAAAACTCTCGTCAAGAAGAACAAGAAGAAAAAGATTTCTACCTTGTGGAGCTCGGTCCCGAGCAACAATCCATCGATCTCTTCCTCACTCCACAAGAATGGGACGCTTTCCTGGCAAGGAAGAGTCTTCAAATACCTATACCACTTCGATCCCTTTCCTTTGCTGCGCTCGTACATGACCGCCACAGTGAGCCCCAATCCACCTCCAAGCCGCGCCCTCGCGATCGCGTCGCGCGCGGCGGTGGTGAGCAGCGTGAGGCAAGCGGCCTTGGGAATGGTCGCGATGAGCTCGCCGTGGTGGAGATCGCGCAATGCCCTCACTCCAGCCCCAGAAACCACTCCATCCATGCCAAAACGCAGCGCGTCGCTGTACTGGATCCCATTCCTCGCCATCCACACCAGGAATCGCCGCAATGGCCTGTAGGGACGATCTCATCAGAGAGAACGAGCGAGAGAGTGTGAGAGAAGCGCTTACGGTGAGAGAACGCCATCCTCCATGTCGCATTTCTAGGGTTCTTCACGCTCTTTCATTGACTATCTTGACCATTCATTGACTGGCTTGACTTTCATTGACATTTTTACTCGAGAGTTTCCAGAACTTGCGATGGAGATGGAACTTTTTACTATATCGCAGTGAAAAATCACACATTTTAAGTTCTATGGTAAGTTTCTAAGATCTGGATCTTCATTTCTTCTCCTCTTCCTCGGGCTTGGCTTCTCCTTTGCCAGAAGTTGACGAACTCGACGACGAATCCGCGACGCAAAAATTCCACTCGCTCACGACTTCCTGCTGCTGCTGCTGCTGCTCGCCTTCTGGCAGCGAGATCTTCTTCCCGAGCTCGGCCACATCCCTGTTCCTCAGCTCTTTCACTTGCTCCCACAGTGGCGGGAGCTCACGCAAGAGATGCGCCACCAGGTACTCGCTGCTCTGGGCGTGCTTGAAAAATCCATGCTTGAGCAGCTTTCCGGCCGTGGGCCGCTTGCTCGCCTCCTTCTGGAGGCAGCAGGCCACGAAATCCTTGAAACTCTTGGAGAAAGCTTTCGCTCTCTCGGGCTCCAGCGTCGGCGGCGGACCGGAGAGCTCCACCAGCACCATCTTCATGGGCGGAAGATCCGAGAGTGGAGCGTGGCCCTGCGCGAGCTCCAGCGCGGTGATCCCCAGCGACCATATATCCGCGCTACAGTCGTAGCCGCAAACCGGATCCAGCACCTCGGGCGCCATCCAGCACGGAGTGCCAGCAAAGGTGGTCCTCCTCGCGATCTGCCGGTTGTAGCAATCGAAGAGGCAGGCCGAGACCCCGAAATCGCCCAGCTTGACGCCGCCGTGCTGATCGACGAGGATGTTCCCGGCCTTGACGTCCCTGTGGATGTGGCCGTGGAAGTGGAGATAGTCGAGCGCCTTGAGGCACTCCCTGAGCACGGTGGCGACGAGCGGCTCATCCAGGCCGTACGGCCGGGCCACGCGCATGATGGTCAGGCAGGAGCCGGCGGCCATGTACGGCATCACCACCCACAGGCGCTGGCCGACGATGAAGAGCGCGAGCGCCGCCACCACGTTGGGGTGGTCGATGAGGCTCAGTGTCTGGGCCTCGCGGCGTACCTCGTCAAGATCGCTGCGGCACTTCTCCAGGTCGATGCTCTTGATGGAGACGATCTCGCCGCGCGGCACGCACAGCGCGCGGTGGACCGTCGCGTTCCTGCCGTGCCCGATCTCCTCCAGGACCCTGTAGTCGGATGCCGCCACCGGGTAGGATTTCCCGGCCTCCATCGCCGTCGCTGCTGCCGCGCGCGCTTGGATCGCTCATTCCTGGAGAGATTGGGATGGATCTAACGCCGGACCGCTGGAGATTACCCTGCTTGTGGCGCCGCCGCTGGCACTTTCGCTGAGCAGGCAATCGAGCCTCTTGGAAATCGGCCCCAAAATATTTGCCATAGAACCCTAAAGCCACGTAGGCGGCAAAAAGTGTTTGCTTATATACGTGTCAGGCAATGACTGCTCCACGTTGCAAAGGTTAGACACGTCAGCAGAGCGGGTGTTCAATGTGCTCAAGCTTGCGGCTATGGCGGAGGAGGAGCGCCCCTCGAGAAGCTCCTCGTCGCTCTATCGCCACGATTCTGCGAGTCGGATGAGATTTTGATCGCGTCTATCGCCTTATTGGATGGGTGTCTTTGGTAAGGGTTGCTGATCGCCTCCACTGCCAGCCACAGGCGCTTGCGTTTTCTAGGGTTCTGCGCATCGATCGCGGTGACCTAGCGAAGAATGCAGCTCTGGAGCGCTCGAAATATCGCTGGACGGTAGTTTTTCTAGACGATCCAGCAAGCATGGGAAGCTCTGGAAGCGCTGGCGACGATGGGAATATGGCTGGGGTCCGGAATGGAGAGAACTCGATTGGTGGATCGGGAAAAGGTTTCGTGTACTCCAGGCGAAATGGGAGCTCTCGCGATCGTCCACGATCACAAGGTACTAGAGACACTCCTTTGAGTTTTCATCTTAAGCGATTTATCTAACGTCCAGGGATTGTGAAAACCATTGAGATTGAGAATGTGAAGCAGCTCTCTCTACCGGACGTTCTTTGCGATCCCTTCTCGTAAGTGATCGTGTCTGCTGATAATCTTATAGTTTTTCTTTTCTCATGCATGCAGAGGAGCGTTCTTAGAGGATGCCATGGTTGCTAAATGTGGCCATTCTTTCGGGAGTGATGGATTGAAACGCGTTGTTCAGACGGTGTGTCTTCGCTGTTCTGTTTGCTCTTCTTTTTGGTTGATAAGTGTTTAACGTTGGCAGGGTGTGTGCTTCATTTGTGCGGCATCGATCACTTCAACAGGATATTTAACTCCCAATTTTGGTAAAGCTTTTGTTCGATATGTGTTCGCATTGGGCCTAAGACGTACGATTGCCAGCGCTACGTGCTGCTGCAAAAGCATACTTGCGGGAGCAGAAAGCAAGCCCTGGATGCGCTAAACGGAAAAGGGAAGATAATGGCGAGCAGAGACCTTCTGACTGCAAGAAGGTAACTTAAGTACTTCTGGCTAGTTTTTACTTTTTGGTGCGTTCTAGCTGAACTCGTCACCGAAGCCCAAAGGTGTCCAGTTCCCATTTTCGGTGAATGATCGCGTGTTCATTCAGGTGATTGTTGCTTTGATACCAGATTTTATAGTTTTCCTGATGAAGTTTTCATTTGAAGGGCAACAAGCGAACTCCAGAGCGCTTTTGTGGACAAGCCGCCATAATCAAGTCCCAATGCTTGAATGGATGGTAACTTGTTTACTGTTTTAAAGTGCACGCAATGCGTTGGGTCTTTCTTTTACAGGTACCTCGTGAGGACTGTTGATAGCGGCGAAAGCATTCGTTTGCAGTACCGTTCACTTCGAAAAATAGAAGGCATAGTATTGCTTTGGTTGTATAAGCTTCTTACGTAAAGGTTTATACAGGTCGGCAGCAGCAAAAAGAGCTTGAAGCCAAAGTATCCGTTCAATCAAGTGAAGCCAAGAGTGAACAGCAATGTAATTATGTAGCAGATCGCCAAGATGATCACGCACACAATAAATCCATTTGTTCGGGTGTATCTATGGTCGTAAAACTGGAATCTGACCCCGCGGAGAAACCAGATTTGCATCCTGAGGTAGAGCTTCTTAAATTGTTGGTATTATTAACGCCTTCCTTTCATTCTCTGGCAGATTGACGGAGACATTCACGGGAAAATCGAGCCCAGTCCATGTGTAAATGACACTAACTTCGCTGTTCCAGGAATGGATTGTCTGTCCGACGCAAATGCAGACAAAGACGCACGGACAACCGAAGCAACATCTAAGCATAGTTTGCTAGACGAGTCTGACGATCGCTATGCTAAGGTACGAAGACACCCTCTTCTGAAAAACATTGACAATTCTCGTTCACCAGCTCGAGCCTTCGCCTAGACAGCTGCAGCTTTCGGGAGAGCAGCCAACGTCACCCCACACTTTTGACCGTTCTAGAGCGAGAGGAGACGTCCTTATGCGTGTGGCGAGAAGAGAGATGCTCCAGTTTGAAAAGCTGGTCCCGACGAGTCTATTGAGCTCGTCCTGGATGGAGCACAGACTTCCATGGCGATATAAAGTCAGGCAGAGCTTTGAGACCAAGGTCAGATTTCGTTCACGCTCTTGCTACAGCTACTCTGGGACTGACGGATTGATAAAAAAAAACAAACAGGACCTTGGAGTACTGTTACATGACTTTCGTCAGAACTTGCTGCTAAATTCAGCCGGTGGAATGTCCGACTTTGGATGGGAGAGCGAGTTGGCAGCGGCCACCACCACGGACGACGCTTGGTCGCTGGTGGATTTATGGAGGAAGCTAAGAATGGACGTGTGCGAGCTGCTAGACACAAAGTCGGTGCTCCACAGGTTTGAAACGGAACAAACACCGCAGCTTGACTTTGAAGAGGTGGAGTCGGCATTCCTTAAGCTGCAAGTTAAAGGAATCTCGCCCGTCACTGTCATCGCAGCGATTATCCTTGCCAGTGCGAATGCGATTGCACGGGGCCAGGAAGAAGAGGTCAGTCACTTCGAGATTTTTTTATCGTCCCTTTGACTTTGTTTTCGCTCCAGGAAATTCTAGAGCTTCCTCTGAGGCTTATCCAGCAGCACGGCCTCAAGCAGCTTTCGTCCATTAGAGAGGCACTGGAGCGCGAGAAGCGGCACTTGACTGCTCGGCTGACACATCTAGAAAGCGGCTTCTTAGAGGAGCTTTCGTCAAAGGTCCGTGCAAAGCTACAAACACTTTCGGATTCTCACGCTACAAACCATTGTTTGTAGAGACAAACGAACAGGAACAAAACAAAAGCGGAAGCCTAGCGGAAGCCTACCAGTGATTTCGAGTGTACAAAAAGAATTCGCCAAAAATTTTCAAAAGGACTTCTACTGTAGAGGGGACCACTAAGGAGATATCAAGCAACGCCCGCGCGGCCTCGGCCTCGTCCACGGCCACGTCCACGTCCTGTGCATAGAAACCAAGTGATCAAAGATAAGTTATCAACGTTTTTAAGAGTACCTCGTCCTCGGACAGCCTCTCCTCCGGTCTCTTCGGTGTGAGGGCCTTCTTGGTATGATGTCTCCCCTCCTCCCTCTCCACCACCTCGGCCTCGACCTCGGCCTCCACGGCCCCGGCCTCGGCCTCGGACACGTCCAGCCGCTGGATTGTTGCCTACAAACACTGGAGAAAAGGACAAAAAGAGAGAATTTTTTCAGCAACTTGGTCTGGATCAAAGCTATAAGGACGTAGCTTTCTAGACTTTGAGAAAACGAAGAGAGTCTATGAAAACGAGCGACGAAAAAGTAAAACAAAAAGCCTTTTGCGAAGTGACTCTCACAGTGAATGGAAAAAAAGTGAGAAGAATACGCACCTCCTCTACCTCGACCGCCGCCGCCGCCACGGCCTCGGCCGCGGCCGCCGCCCTGTGGTGAAATCTCTGCTCGAGAGAACAAGAGGTTCTAAAGTGAAGCCAGTGAAGTTGAAACATACCTCCTCCATCGTAGTCGAATTCTCCCGACTGTTTCACTTGGTCAGGTGGGAGAGGCGCTTGATACCTGTAATGGAAGTGTGAAAATCCTGAAGAGAGAAGAAGGAAACAAGGAGAGAGAGCTTGAGCTTACATACCCTGTGGAATCCTTGTCTAGCTCTTTCGTTGACAGGGTAATGCAGATAAGCGATACGTGCCGTGTCGTTTCCAGCCTGGTGAGAATGCAAGCCAAGTTAAAAAGAAAGAGGAGAAGCGATGCATGATATACTCACGGAACAAGTCCTTCCTCGAGTGGCTTCCACGAGTCCGTGATATCAGTCGACCCAATCGTGGTGATTTGATGCAGGCCAGCAATCCTTCTCTGCAAGAACAGCGAGTTTTCAGCTCAAAAACCTCGAGCAAGAACAAAAAAAGAGAGGAAAAAAGAAGAACTCCCACCTTGACAATCTCGACAATCGCCACTGTTTTGTTGATTGCTCGTCCCATTGCTTTGAGCACAATCTCCTCGGAGCCTTTATCCTGCAATGCTCAAAAGACAAGAGAAACAAAATGAAAATCCGCGAATTTTTCTTCTTCTTTTCACCTGTATCAGGCTAATCGCATAGGTAATGTAGTTGCGCATTTTCCCCTGCGTGGTAATCCGGATCTCATTCTCACTGATTGGGGTCTCATTGCGTGGCTTCTCCACTCGCTCATAGCGGTCCATTGCTCTACAAGAATCGCAAGAAAACTCCGCTTAAATCCATCCAAATCACATCGCGCATCACAAACCTGGGCTTCCTTCGCAAGATTCTATCAACGTTGCTGCCCGAAGAAGCCCGTTGCAGCGAGACGAGCGATCTTCTCTTTTGTGTTCTTTCTCTCCTGGAGCCCTAAATTCGCGAGGGCCCTAGTCACCAGATTTGATCCAACGGTGCCGAGAATAGGGCTTATCTGGCACGCCACGTGGATGAGTCCTGTCCCGCCAAGTGGCTGGGACAGTTTTACAGATAAAGTTTCGGTTTGACCAACAATGCACGGCAAAACATATTAGCTGACGTGCCGCTTTTGACCGCGTAGGTTCCGGGGCTTTGACCTGACTTAGCGTAAGACCCCGCGTTTTTAGGGCTTAACAAAGCATGGTTAGCGAGAGGGGATTTTAGGGTAGTCTCTCTCCTTTAGTGCTGAGCTATGGCGGAAGAATGCGTGAGCGCGGCATGGAGCCGCTCCATTCGTCGCGGGATCTTCGATGCGACCGCGTGAAAGCGTCCGGCGCTCGATCCGCACGGCCGGCTCGTGAAATGTAGTGTTCCAGGGGGGTATTTCTCGAATCAGCAACGCTGTGTGGCGTGCTAGAGATGAAGTCATGGAAGAAGATCAAGGAGCTCGCTCGATTCAAGGAGAAATCGTCGCCGGCGGCGGCTCTGGAGCCGACACAGGATATCGAGGAGATCACGAGGGGCATGCAGGTTTGTGGAGAGTCTGGCATTCTTGTGGAGCTGAAATTCGCCTCATTCTTGGGTGTTCTTTGCGATTTCTTGCTCAGGATGTTTGCTACATGAAGAATCAGTACGAAGGGTTACACGCGGTTTCTTCTCGTGTCGCGGGTCGCGCTTATGGTCAGACTGGAATTTATTTTTCTTCGTGTGGACAGGCGTGACTGTTTTGCATTGATCCAGGCTTTTCCGAAGCCATCCAAGAGATGGCTGCATTTTTGGTGGAGTCCTTTGCTCTGGACAACAACGGAGATATCAGTAAGCTCGGCTTAGAATGCGTGGTTTTGAGCTTCCAAGATCTTTTTTCGTGCGCAGATACAGCTTTCAAGGAAGTCAGCAAGACACAGTCTGAGCTATCAAGGCTTCTCCATCTTTATGTGAGTTGTGGCTTTAATTGTTGCGACTTTCTGATTGTAGAGCTCTCCAGGCTTTCCACGTCTCTGAAACGCTGAAGGTCCCAGCGGAAGGCTTGCTCAGCGAGCTCGGTCACATTGAGGTATGCTCGGTAATCAAGATTTTCTTGTTTAAGCTGGAAACGTACCTCTCCTTTTCTTAGGAAACGAAGAAAGAATACGACGAAAAGAGGTAGCTAGCAAGTCTCTGTAAATTAATGTAGCTGTTCTTACGAATTGGTGGCGCAGGATTTTGTTCGATCACATGAGGCTACGAAAATCCAGAGCCAAGAATGTGAAAGCCGAAGCGCAGATTGAGCAACAACTGCAAGAGTCCAAGGAGCAATTTGACGAGCTGGCCATGTTTCTGGGATGCCGTCTTCACTCCCTGGAGCAAAGTCGTCCTCGACACCTTCTCACGCAAGCTGCTCGGCATCACTCAGCTCAGGTTTACTTCTCCTGCAAGAAAACGTCTACCAACGTGCTAACCGTGGTATTGTTGGCAGATGCACTTGTTTAGACAAGGCCTTGGTTGCCTAGACGATGCCGACCCTTGCATAAGTCGGATAGTGCAAGAACGTAATCTAGATACCTCGTTGGACTATCTGGATGGAGGGGAGAATGATGCATTCTTTAAGACCAAGGATGCTACCGAAGAGTCCGACCAGTCGAGTTCTTTAGAGCAAGTAAGACTCTTCCCATGACTCTTTTTTTGAAGTTTAGTGCAACAGCTGGTTTTCTTTTTTGTTTAACTGTCAAACTTTGCTGCAGGAGGAGACCAGTCCAAAGCACTGTAGCATTGCGTATGAGACACACACGGGCAGCAGATCGGCTCCACTCTCCCCGGTTAGATTCGCAGAGGCAAACGGTGTAAATAGCATCCACGAAGTCATGCTGGACGGGGTGTCCAACAAGAAGGCGCCGATCTTCTCGAGAACAAACTCATGGCTGCGGAGGAAAGGCAGCCGCGATCCAGGCGTCTTACATCTCTACAGGCCAACACAAACTTCTTCGTCAGCTCCCAACACACAAGAACACTCCACAGCACCGCCGATGTACTCGGTCACAGAGCCAACGGGATCTCCATCGCCATCGTGGATACCAAGCCCGGATCTCTCCAAAGCTCGCCGTCCCTCGCCTCCCCAGCAGCAGCAGCACAAGAAGCTAAGTACGTTCCCAAGCTTTCCTCGTCGCTTCCAATCGGGTCCTCTGGCTTCCACAGCATCGTCCAAGCCGAGGAGGCTCATCCCCAGCAGCGGCCCTCTCACGCAGCCGCCGCCTCCGTGCGTGACGCTCCCAGTCGACCCCTTGTACAAATCCGGGCCTCTCACTCCAACTCCAAAGATGTCCCCGACGGTCTCTCCCACCGCTGCGTCGCCACCTCGAGTCAGCGAGCTCCACAAGCTTCCTCCTCCGCCTCTAGCGTCCTCCACCTTGTCGCCATCGCCGGCTCCTTGCACCAAGCTCGCCGCTGGCAGCGTTTCTTACTCGGCTCCACTGTCTAGGCCGCCGCAGATCCAGATCCATCAGCAGCAGCAGCAGCAGGGAACTCAGCATCAATCGTTGTCTGCGGCGGTTCATCATCATCATCACCACCACCACCACCACCACTCATCGCAGGCTTCTCCTCTCCCGCCACCCCCGCTCGCACAGGCTCCATCGCCAGCTTCCAAGAGCCATAACAAATGTGTTCGGAAGAATGAGAGAGTTTCTCCATTGCCACTCTAGATATACAAAGATTAAAAAAAAAACACATAGTTTCAAAGCAGGCAATCTAATCGCTTTTGAACAACAAAATGAATCTCATAAAGTATAATAAAATAAAAGCATAGTCATAACCTTTGAGCTAGTTTCTTTGGCTTCCCTGTCCATGATCAAGCGTTTTTTTCCAGGAAATCACCAGAGATCCTTGGACCCTGGCAATCTTTAAAGCTCCTGTCTGCATTACGACGCACGCATAGCCTCCAATCCTTTCGACGACCATGGAGTATATGTCTGGCAAGAGATCGTCGAAGAACGCGTTCCCCATCACAAAAGATGGAGCCATCGTCCCAAAAGCCCAAAACTGGCACCTTTTTATGAAAGTTCCCATTTGTTTGCTGGATGAATTGGTGCAACTTTCCAGATCATTACCAATCCACTCGGTACCTTAAGTTTTTCCCAAGTTCTAAACGCATCTCACTTCCTGCAAAGTGAAGGTTATAAGCCCTCTCTTGAAACGAGATATAAAAGAACGAAATACTTGAGGCTTGATTCTCGAGGAGGTTTGGCACAACTTTGGATGAAAATCGATACACCTGAGCGTGTTCATGTTGACCAAGAAAAAGTAGCTTCTCACGTTCTGTAGTTAGAGGATGGAAAAGACCATAATCTATTTGAGGAGATTTATTCGCTTTTAACTGGCTTGGCTTTTGAAAGTTCTTTTTGCCTTTTAAGGCAAAGCTGTTTAACAATTTTTAATCCTTTTTCACCACTTTTCTTGCATGGAAAAACATATCTCCTACAAGGATTCCTTGCATGGAAAACAAGAAATTGAGATTGAGGCTAGATACTTGAGATTTCTGATGATGGGCAGATCACCACTCCTATATATTTACACATAATTAGTCTTTTTTATACTTTCAGATTTGCATGGCGGATTTTCTTTGGCTTCCCCTTTGTGCTTTCAAAAAATGCGGTTTTTTGGCACACCCCAAAGTTTGATCTTGCCCTCCACTAAATCATCATCCAAAGTTTTGAAAACTTCAACCCTTGGACCCCCATGATCTCTAAAGCTTGAGACCTTAGTGCAATTCATTTCTATCCTTTCCACATCGCCGTTCGCCACACCAAATGCAATGAACCTATCATGCACCTGTGTCCCCTCCAGGAAATAGTCCCACTCGTCCACTCTCATCGTTGTGTCGCCCTATTCTTGTCTGCACCACCACCGACGACGGAGATCGTCCTTTCCCATAGCCAAAGCTGCGGAAAACCCTTGGCGTGCTCCATTCAACTATATAGTCAATTCCCTTTATGATTGCCTTTTAAGAAAGTCACCAAAAGTCAAATGGCTATGGCCCCCAAATGCGAAACGTGCAATCTCTCCCGGTGGAGAGCTCGATAGAACTCCACCACCTGGACGACATTGGTAAACTCTTGAATTGGAACCACCTCCCCGTAAGTTTGGAAGCTGCCAGATCGTATAGAGTCACTGAGAAGGAAGAAAGAAACCAGGGAGGAAAAGAGAAAGAGGACACTACCATTTGATGGTATTGTCACTGCTTGCGATCGCGATGATGTAGCCACTTGTCCATCGCACATTTATTTGCCAGATGAGGCCCAACGAGGTGTACTCTGGCAACTTTGCAAATGTCCCAGTTCCTTACGATCCCATTTGCATCGACAGACACCACCGTCTCTCCCTGGAAGTTTCAAGACAAAGAGGTTCAAAAATCATCTGGGCTTATAGCTTTTCTGTGCAGGAAGTGAGCTTATAACTGTTACCTTTGGGTCGAAAGCTGCATGGTTGCAAGAGCTTTGGTGGCCATAAAACGTTTGGATGTAGAGTGAGGAGCACACGTCCCACAAGCTGATGGTTTTGTTGCTCGTGCAAAGAATACTGTTGTAAGGCTGCCAAATACAGCCATTTAGTCTAGGTGACTTCTGATACACATCATGCTGACCAAGCCAAAGAGAAGCAAAGGAAAAGTCAAGAGTCAGTCTAGCTTTGCACAATCTGGATGGAAAGAGAGTCTGAGATGAATGTGGTGTGCTGTAGTTTCACACAAAATTAACACAAACTATAAGAATATTCTAAAAATCTTATATAGCCTTAGTAAAGTTCCTAGGGTTAAATCCCTAGCATGTTTGTTTGGGGATGGCAAAAGAGAAAGATATAGATCCTGACATAGAGTTCGTGATAATGATTATTGCTTGACAAAGATGCTAAATTGCTAAGGTTTAAAGTGACATTAAGGATTTTAAGAATTCCATTAATTTCATTAAGAATTTTTTGTTTTGCATGGACCCTGAAAAGTTCAATCAATCTCATATTTGATTATATTGGTACATCACACATGCCAATGATAATGGTATCATGGAATGAAAGTTGTTATCAAATATTTATGATACCTAAGAGGTTGATTATTAGTCCCACAACCCTTATATAAGGACAAGGTGATTAACTTTTTTTTATTACAAAGCTTACAATTCACACTTTTTCATGGTGGAAGAACTACATTAAAGTGCTTTCATGCTTTGTTTGTCAAGAAGTTTGAAGAAGTTCATGAGATCCATCAAAATTAATTTGAGCCAACTTCTTAGAGTGATTTGACAAAATTTTTCCTATGCTTCATCCATCAAGAAGTTTAAAAAGGTTGATCTTATAAACTAGTTTGAGTTTAATGAATTTCTCACAATATTGACTATCACTAAAAATCAATATAAACTCTTGAATTTGGGTTTTTCAACCCAATAATATTAAAACCTAAGGATGCTTAACCTTAAGTATTTTAAGTGCACTCTTATTTATAGGCTTTTTTTTCTATATATTTAATTTTTTTCAAATCATTCTCTTTAATTGTTACAATTAAATATTTTCGCTAAAACCACTAGTCGACTTAGTCAAATTTGGTCAATAGAATGGTCAATAGTGTAATCCACATGATGACTAGCCAACCAATATGTTATATTTGGGGAAGAAACAATTGCTATTGCATCTAAACTTACAAAATACAAATAATAATAAAGTTAAGAAATTTTGTTCGGACCAATAGGAGAAAGACAAAGTAGAGGGCAATTGTTTTTATTGCCACAAAACTTGATATCAAGGCAAAAATTATCCCCTTTGAAAAAGTGTTCATCTAAATAGCCTCTTTTTTACTTTGCAATACCTTGTAAAGGGATTAAATAATGCTAATATAAATATAGTGAAATCTATTGTGGATACAACTTAAACGTCTTCCTATGGTGAAGGTTTAATAACTAAAGTCTCAAGTTTGTATTAACTCTGTAAAGCTTAATGGTTCTATATACAATCATTAGTATTCTTTTTTATCTATGTGCTACATAAAACCTTTTGAATTGGTCTACTTGAGATAAAGAGTTATATGCCATGATTGTTACTATAAAGGAATAGCAATATTTTTTATATGGATCAAACTTTCATATGGATTTAGACCATCATTCTCTTTAATATTTCAAAGTTTTTGTAGGAAATGTCTATTAAAATCTGATGCAAGCATAAAGGTGACAATAAAATGAGAATTTATTAATTTTAACTATTTTATCACTAATGGTTGCATAAAGTTTTGTTAAAGGATGCCTTTATAGATTTGAATGGAATTCTACTAAAAAAAGGGCATATGGTAATTTATTATGTTGACAAACTTATTTAATAGATTTTGATTGAGTTTTATGATGTGCCAAGTGCTAAGCATCCGAGGTATTTCTTTTGGCCTTAGATGAATTTAGATGTTAAAAAGTAATTATGTGGTTATTTGATTTGCCAGGCAGTCAAAATTAATCATCAAAAGTTTGTTAACCTCTATCATCCTTTATGTGTACTTGAGATAAGTGGGATAATATCTCATTGCTTAAGACTTTTTGAAGAAATGATGCTATTTGGGTTGTTGTAGATCATTTGACAAAAATGGCTCACATTTTTCTAGTGAAAACAACAATTAAAACTCCTAAACTTATCTAAATATTTATAAAATTATTATTCAATTTTTATAGTTTGCCAAGTGATATTGTAAGTGATCAAGATCACAACTCACATCCAAATTTTGGCAAATGATATTTGATAAAAATATGAGCATGAGTAATGGTGAACATCCACAATCAAATAGATAGACAAAGAGCATGAATCAATTGTTGGAAGATATGTTAATTTTTTTATAAGAAACTTAACTTGATAAATATTGTGAATGTGACTATGGGTATTAAAAGTTACATCTTAACAAGTCCTTTCAAATATTCTGTTTTTACTCCCACAATGGCAAAGGTTCATACTGTTGATTCCCTTTATTAGTCCTCCTTGTTCAAGTGTTAATAAATTGAGTTTAGCTTTTAATTCTTTTTTGCTCTATTTTATATTGACTCAAAGAGTGTCTTGCTTCACCATAGTTAAAGCATACATTGTTTCCCAGGCTACTAGCAAACTTAACCTTCTTATCAATGGGTTTGTCCCTTTTCGCTTGACTCCCCCATGTATTTGGTCACTAGCCATCAAATGTACCTTTCCGAAACCCTAAGGACTCATTCTTAAAAAAACACTTCCTAAATTTCCCTTTGCCATATGTTCTCCTTGGTTTGGCTCCTTTGCTAAATGTGAACTTTGACCTTGTTGTGTTCCCCTTTCATAGGTTATCATTCAATTACACCTTAATAGCTGTATCTAATGCTTCCTTATAATTGGTTGGGTTCTAACACATCACCTCGCCTCGAGCCCAAGTTTGTAAGCTTGCTATGAGGACATGAAATGTATCATGTGAAATGTATTTTTGTTATGGACATATATATATATAATGACAAAAGTAGATCTAAATTGAAAGTCAGATAAAGAATCAAAAAGAAAGAAAAAAGTCAATTAAAACGGCATATTTTAGAATCTGGTGGAGGATGGGATCCGGGTCATTCCCGAGATCCAAGTGTTTTTCTCTTTTGCACTTGTAACTCTAGGATCTTCCCTTCCAGCAACGCTTTCTGCAATTGCAGCTTCCGTATTTCATCCTGTTTCAGTGTAGCATTAGCTAGAGAGCAAGAAGAAGAAACGATAGAAGCAAGCTTTACCTTGTATCTGTCCCGATCGTCACTAGCTTTGGAGAAAGCTTCCCAAATTAGCACCTTCACAGGAAGGGAAGTGTATCCTTTGGCTGTAAACCATGTAATATAATGACATGTATTTTGTCATTATATATATATATGTCCATAACAAAAATCCTCTTCGTCATAAACACATTCATATACTCTTAAATGGTTCATATCTACTTCAGCCTACTCAATTCATCCCTTAGATGAAGAGTAGGATTCAAAGGAATATAAATTGTACGAATCCTTACCTTCATAATTTCCCAAGAGGCTATCAGTCCTTCGTTGGCCTTTGTTGTTCTCCACCAAAATTTAGCATTATTTGCCAAGTATAGTTTTACATATAAGAGCTTCTTTGAGCTCAATAATTGCAAAACTTGAAAATAATCCTCCATATCGTAAAACCAATCCTCCACCACTTTATAATTATTCACTCCCTTGAAGACTGGTGGGGGCTTTAGTTTGTACTTAGGAACTACATGAAGGATTAATTCCACTTTGATTTGTTCAACCTTATTCAGTTCTGCCTCAATCCCCACCAAAGGGTCCACGCCTTCTACATTGTCAACATTTGTAGTCTTTTGTCTTTTCTTCTGCTTCTTGTCATGCTTTAACTTGCATACGAAAGTCTTCAATAAGGCATTGGTTTGTGCCAATTGTCCTTCTAGAACATCCAATTGAGCCTTGAATGACCGAACTTCACCACCGAACTCTTGTTTAAAAATTTCCTCACTGGAGTTTTTTTTGTGTAAGGATTCTTCATCCATAGCTTCTTGTTTGATTAAAGGCTCTAGCTCTGGAGGAGATTTCGTCTCCACCTTGGTTCTTTTAAGCCTTACTTTAGCCATCTCTCAATAATCCACTTTTATCCTTTGCTAGAATTGAGGAAAATACCAAATTGTAAGCCATAAATTTTTCTTTTCCAATTGTCAGGAATCCCCCAATTCTTGCCAATTTCTTGACTCTCGCCGGATTCCTGACCTGCAAACCACATTCCTGACTCTCGGGACACTTCCCTATTCCTGACTCTCGAGACACTTCCCTATTCCTGACTCTCGAGACACTTCCCGATTCCTGAGTCTCGAGCCACATTCCTGATGATGATGTGGCGCCTCCTCGACCTCAGCTATATTTAGGCCGTCCTCGATTCAAGAGTGGTGGAGCTTCATCAACCTATAGTATATATAAGTTAGCCTTGTTCCATTTCTCCACAATCTGAATCAACACCAGTCTAAGGCCTCTTCTTTGTTTTCACTAGCTTTTTCTCTTTGTCTTTAGCATTTTCCAGTCTTGATCTTGTTGGGGGTCTTGACAGTTTGATTCAGATTGTTGTTTTTTGCTTTTCTTTTAGCTCGCTTTGATTGTTTGATTACCTTTGCCTTTTTTTCCCCCTTTTTTCTTTCTTCTTGCCAATGGAGTCTCCAAGCCATCCTGATTTCTTTGCTGAAGTCCTTGCAAAAATCCAGTTTGAGAATACCGAGCTGAAGGCGACCCTTCTTCGCATGCAGCAGGAGCTTGCTTCACTTTCGGCTCAAGGATCCAGCAAAGTTCCTGAACCGAAGGTGAGCTTCCCGGCGAAATTTTCAGGCAAGCGTTCGGAGCTTCGCGGATTCCTGAACTAGATGGAGTTGATCTTCGCACTTCAACATCGGCGGTACCCTACTCTCGAGTCTCAAATCGGCGTGATTGGGACGTTGCTCGAAGGTGCAGCTTTGTCATGGTTTTCTCCTCTTTTGGAGAAGAGCATGAAAGGGGTCGTGGTTCCAGAACTGATGGATCTTCAATTGTTCAAAGAGAAGCTCGAAGCATGTTTTGGTGAGACGGATCGGGTTCGGGCTGCTACCACAAAGATGAGACGTCTCTCTCAAGGGTCTCGTCCTGCCTCGATCTATGCTGCAGAGTTCCAACTCCTTGCTTTGGACACTCAGTGGGATGAGCGGGCCCTGATTGACCAATTTCGTTTCGGCCTCAACAACGGTGTCAAGGATTTGTTGCTCACCATGGAGGATCCCAAGGACCTATCGGATGCCATCAACAAAGCTGTTTGATGTGACAATCGTCTCTTTGAACGTCGTCAGGAAAGTCGCCGCGCCACTGTTTTTCCGTCCCAGACTCAGGAATCCCAGCTTGAGTCTTCGGGGCATACTCCTGAACCTACTGCTCCGGTTCCAATGGATATTTCTGGTACTCCCCGACTCATTAGAGGGAAGTTGAGTCCTGCTGAGAAGCAACGTCGAATATCTCATAATCTTTGCCTCTATTGTGCTGATCCTAATCATAAAGCAGTTGTATGTCCCAAGAAGCCTCCTCGACTGCTCGAGTTCACTCTGCCTCAAAGTCCACCTCTATTGCAGTCGGGAAACGACCCTGTCCAAACAGAGTAGGAGCTGTCTGTTTGGACTCCCCGAATAAAAATCACTTTTCTTCTTTATCAAGCTCCTCACCACCTTTCATCAAAGCCACCACCAATTCCCACAACTTCCGCGTCCCATGTCTCCTTTCTTTCACCGGACAATCGGGACTCAAGGCTCTGGCGTTACTGGACTCGGGTGCAACTTCCTGCTTCATGGACACGGACTTTGCTGCCCGACATCACGTTCCTCTTTCTCCTACCATACGGGATTTGAGGGTTGAAGGCATCGGCGGGCATTTTGTGTCTCCATCTTCTGGACTTAGGGAAACATTGCCCGTTCGAGTACACATCGGGTCCACCGTCACCGATATCGCCTTCAATATCATCAACAACAAGTCCTCCTCTGTGGTGCTCGGTCTTCCTTGGTTCCAACTACATCAGCCTCAAATCTGTTGGAAGGAATTACAGCTCATCTCTCCCATGGCTTCCCCTACTGTTCATCGAGTCCGAATCAGGAAAAGTTCCCTAAACTCAAATCGGGGTTCTGTTCCTGACTCTATAAAGTTTTCACCCTCTTCTTTTTCCTCTCTTCCATCTTACACTGGACCGTATCCTCGTCTCATCATTCCATTTAGTCGTACGCCTCCTCCTATCTCCACAATCACTATGAAAGAACTCCTTCATGAAGAACCTCTTTTTCTTTTTGCTTTGCATGTTTTTCCTGTCAGTCTTCCTGAGAAGTATCATGATTTTGGGGATGTGTTTGACAAGAAAAAAGCTAGTGTACTGCCTGTTCATCGGCCTTATGATTGTCCCATTGATTTACAGGAAGGAGCGTCACCTCCGTGGGGGCCTATCTACGGGTTATCCCTGTCCGAGCTTAAGGCCCTCAAAGAGTACGTGGATGAGAACCTTGCCTCAGGCTACATTCAGCATTCGCAGTCCCCGGCTGGAGCGCCTGTCTTCTTTGTCAAGAAGAAGGATGGGAGCTTGCGGCTAGTCATCGACTACCGAGGTTTGAACAAGGTGACTGTTCGGAACCGTTATCCGCTGCCCCCGATCTCGGACCTGTTGGAACGTCTCGGCGGTGCCCGCTTCTTCACCAAGATCGACCTCCGTGGAGCATACAACCTGATCCGGATCCGGCCTGGTGATGAATGGAAGACTGCGTTCCGAACCCGCTATGGCCACTTCGAGTACACTGTCATGCCATTTGGCTTGACAAATGCTCCAGCAGTTTTCCAACACATGGCAAAGGACGTCTTTCAGGAGTTTCTTGATCAGATGGTGATCGTCTACCTCGATGACATCCTCATCTACTCAAAAACTCAGGAGGAGCATGACGAACATGTACGCAAGGTGCTAGCGAAGCTGCGAGAACACGGCCTATACGCGAAGCTTGAGAAATGTTCCTTTGATCAGCAGTCTGTGGAGTTCCTTGGGTACATTGTCACTCCTGAGGGTATCACGATGGATCTTGCCAAAGTCAAGACTATTCTCGAATGGGAGCCTCCACAATCAATGTCGGACGTTCAGGTTTTCCTTGGCTTCGCCAACTTCTACCGCAAATTCATTGATCACTACTCTGACATTGTCCTTCCTCTCACACATCTCACTCGCAAGGATGTTCCCTTCTCTTGGTCTGCTGCTGCCCAGCAGGCCTTCGACACACTCAAGGCGGCCTTCAGTTCTGCTCCTGTCTTGATCCATGCTGATTCCTCACAACCTTTCTTCATCGAGGCTGATGCCTCCGACTTTGCCATTGGTGCTGTGCTGTCTCAACTTGGAGCGGATCACAAACTTCATCCAGTCGCTTTCCATTCTCGGAAATTCCAGCCTGCGGAGATCAATTACGAAATCCACGACAAGGAGCTCCTTGCCATCGTGGATTCCTTTGGAGAGTGGCATCGTTTCTTGGAGGGGGCGAGCCATCAAACAACAATCTGGACGGATCACAAAAATCTCGAGTACTTTGCCACTTCCCGAGTTTTAAGCCGTCGTCAAGCAAGGTGGGCCCAATTCCTAAGTCGGTTTGACTTTGTTATCAAGTACAGACCTAGAAAGTTTCAAGGCCTTTCTGATGCTCTTTCAAGGCACTCCTATCTCAGTCTCAGGCCTGGTAACCCTGACTTCGATCAACAGGATCAAGTTATCCTCGGTCCTGATCGGCTTCAAGTTATGGCAATTTCCCTGGCCCCTCAGGACTCCTCCTTGATGGATGCAATCAGAAACGATCTTCAATCCGATGATCTTGCTAGCGACATTTTCCCCCATCTTCAGGCTGGACACCCAGTGACTCCCGACTGTCGGCGATTTGACGAGTTCGAGTTCTTAGATGGTTTATTGTACCGTGGGGAGCAGCTTTACATTCCTGAAGGTGATGCTCGAAGGTTGGTCCTGATGGCGTGCCACGATAGCCCGACTGCTGGTCACTTCGGCATTGCGAAAACCTATGAGCTAGTTGCACGGGACTTTTGGTGGCCTCACATGGACGACTACATCAAAGCTTTTGTTACCTCCTGTGACACTTGTGCCCGGAATAAAGTACCTCGCCACCTTCCTTCAGGTTTGCTTCGTTCCCTTCCGGTCCCTTCAGGTCCTTGGGAATCCATCTCCATGGATTTCTTGAGTGATCTTCCGAGTTCTGGAGGCTTCAACAGCATTTTAGTCG